AGCAGCAGCGGCAACATCGCCCCCCCCCCCCTCCTGGCAGCAGACTAATGCCCTGCTTGCAGGGCACGTGCCTGAAACGTCGCCTCCAATTTAGCACGGTTGGCTACGTACCGTGCGAAAGAAGTTCAACATACATACATACTGCCCATAAACTAACACTACCCGTAGATTAAACAATATAATGTGTAGGCTTTCGCGACCAATATCATCCATAATAGAGGGTTTTTTTGCGTTAGATCACATAAATATATAAATGTGTCGTAAAACCCGCCATCACCCGACTTAGCCAACTAGTCAGATTATAAATGTTGTGGCTTGGCTCTCCACCGTTGTGCTGTACCAGTGACGAATTGGCACGTGCTGTTTATGTGACAACCCTTATGAGTTGGCTGTGTCGGGTGGTGGCGGGTTTTAACTACACATTTATATTTTTACGCGATCTAACCCAAAAAAAACCTCTTATGGAGATTCAGCACTTCCCATAGATTCAACACTGCCCATAGATTCATGACTGCTCATAGATTCAACACTGCCCTTAGACTCAACACTGCCCTTAGACTCAACACTCCCCATAGACTCAACACGACCCATAAACTCAACACTGCCCATAATCTCAACACAAGAGAATTCTCACAAGATAATTTTATTGTTTTATATGTTTTTTTATTTTATTGTTTCCCTTCTACGTGACTTTACCGAAAGGACCAAGAAAATGAATCCCTGCAGTCATGAAAGCTTTAAATCAAAACTCAACACTGCCAATATACTAACACTGCCCATAGACTAACACTACCCATAGATGCAACACTGCCCATAAACTTCCATAAACTCAACACTGCACCTCCGATTAGCACGGTTGGCTACGTATGGTGCGAAATAAATCCAACATACACACAATACTCTTTGGGTTTTTTTGGTAAAGTCACGTAGATAAAACTAAATCCAAATAAAATGAAACTAAATCAAATCACGACGTTTCGGAGGCAACACAAACTTCCGTCTTCAGGTGGAACAGTCACAGCAAGATAGCTGCATCAAGTGGTGAGCTCCGAGACCCTCGAGCTTATATACAGGTTAAGGTGGGGTGGAGGAGCCAAGCAGGGAACGACGACGAGGCTAAGTTAATCCGTCTTTTGTTATGTTGAGGGTTCAGAGGAAGCGGTGGTTCACTGCAAGGGGGCAATGCAAAATGGTAAAAAAAGGCTGTGTGCTAATAAGGTAGCTGAAGTTTTGACTTGGTTTATGACATCTTTCCAGTGGTTGCTTAATTTAAAACCATCCTCTCGGTTGAAGTTGTGTCTATGTTTGTATATCTGGATGGCTTCATGGACAAATCTTTGGTAATAACCGGGAGGTTTGCATAGCACTTTGGTATCGGAGAAAACAATGTCATGAGAACCCGCTGTGTTGAGACAATGATCAGCTACGCCCGACGAATTCGTTCTGCCGTGTTTCAAATCTGATTTGTGCTCGCGAATTCGGTCAGAAATATGTCGTTTCGTCTCCCCGATATAGCAGTCACCGCAGATACAACTCAATTTGTAAACACTGGGGTACTGTAAGTCAGGAATGACATCCTTTATGGATGGGATCAGATCATGGATTTTGTGTACTGTATTGAATCGAACCTGGATCTTGTGTTTGTTTAGAATTTTGGAAATCCTTTTGATGACGCCTGCTATGTATGGCAGTGTGATGATTTTGATCGGAGTGTCAAGTGGTTGCTTCTGTATGGTAGGAGAAACAGCTTGGCGGATGATACGGTCAGAGTAACCGTTCTTTATGATGGCTAGATATACATGTTTCAATTCACTGGTCAGGTGGTGTTGCTCAGAAATGCAATGAGCTCTATGGTATAATGTTTTGATGAAATAATTCTTTTGAGCTGGGTGGTGGTGGGAATCAGGCTTCAAGTAGGAATCTGTGTGGGTGGACTTCCTGTAAACAGAATGACCCAAAGAGCCATCAGTTCTCTCAAACAGAACATCCAAGAATGGCAGCTTGCCATCTTTCTCCACTTCCATGGTGAATTTGATGGATGGGTGTCTGGAATTGATGTGGTCTAGGAAATGGTTCAAAGCTGGGACGCCATGTGGCCAAATAACGAAAGTGTCATCCACATATCTCTTCCACAGGGAAGGACGAAGGGTGGATGTCTGGATGGCGTCTGATTCAAATTTCTCCATGAAAACATTAGCTATCACTGGTGACAAGGGGGGACCCATAGGAGTACCCTCATTTTGTTTGTAGAAGGTGCCATTCCAGGTAAAGTAAGTGTTGGTGAGGCAGTGCCTAACCAGCGCAGGTACATCAGGGTTCAATCCATGTTGGACCAAATCCTCAATGATTGTTATGGTATCAGGTACTGGGACCTTGGTGAACAGAGAAACAACATCAAAGCTGACGAGGATATCGTCAGGAGATAGTACAATGTCTTTGACCATAGAAACCAATTGGGTTGAGTTAAGTACTGCTGAGGTGGTCTTGCCAGTGAAGGGGAGCAGAGTGTCCGACAGAAAACGGGCTAGCTTGTAGGTAGGGGAGTTGATCATGGACACGATGGGTCGTAGTGGGGTACCTTCTTTTTGAATCTTTGGAAGACCATATAATCTGGGAGGTCTTGCAGCGGAGGGTTTTAGGGAGGGACGTTTGGTTGGTTAGATTAGGAAAGTCGAACTAGTGATGATCTTGTTGGTTTTTATCGTTAGGCTGTTAGTAGGATCACTTTTAATTTTTGAGTAACTCCCATCATTGAGTAGGTCCTGGATGTTGTTGTTGTACGAGTTTTTATCCATAATGACAGTGGCATTGCCCTTGTCGGCCGAGAGGATGACTATATCATCCCTCTTTTTTAAATTCGCGAGTTCAGAGCATTCGTTTGTGCTAATATTGCTGATGGGTTTCTTAGAATTCTTGAGAATAGTGGCTATTTCAGCTATTGTAACGTCAGCTTGGATGTGTCCTATGCCTTTGAGGGCTACATCGACCTGAGAGATGATATCCTCTACTGGGATATGTTTAGGGGTGACAGCGAAATTTAGCCCTTTAGCCAGTACCGTTTTCAGATTGTCCGAAATCGGGATAATACTCTGATTAATAACAATTTTGTTAACATCCAGTTTTGTGATGTGTGGTTCTGACCTCTTCTTTGATAGGAGGTTGAATTTAGCGATCAGGTTAGCTTTGCATTTGACTGACAGTGAATCAGCAGAGGCAGCAGTCATGTTGTCAACGTGGTTCCAATCAGAAGCGGACATTTTTTGTGTTAACATTAAATGTGAAAGCCTACGTGTTAAACATTAAATGTGATTGTAGGAAAGTCATGTCTAAACTATCGAGTTCAAATCGGAGTACTCTTATTCTCTCTGAGATTTGTGATAAGCTAGCATTAAACATAATCCGTTTAGAGTTCGGTGAAGATACAGCAGCAGATGTGAGTGTGAAAGCGATGCGTATTACCTTGTTATCGCGGCATCTTTTGAGGAAGGTTAGCATCTCGATGAGTTGTGACTTCTTATCTCGTTGTCTGTTAAAAGCTCTAACAGATAGGTGAAAACCCTCCTTGTAGAGGTCATTAATTATAGATTTGAAGCTTTCGTGACTGCAAGGATTCATACTCTTTGTTTTTTTCGGTAAAGTCACGTAGATAAAACAAAATCAAAACAAAAGAAAACAACTAAATCAAATCACAGCCACATGGCCTCCCAGCTTTGAACCATTTCCTAGACCACATCAATTCCAGACACCCATTCATCAAATTCACCATGGAAGTGGAGAAGATGGCAAGCTGACATTCTTGGATGTTCTGTTTGAGAGGAGGACTGATGGCTCTTTCGGACATTCTGTTTACAGGAAGTCCACCCACACAGATTCCTACTTGAAGCCTGATTCCTACCACCACCCGGCTCAAAATAATTCTCTCATCAAACATTATACCATAGAGCTCATTGCATTTCTGACCAACACCACCTAACCAGTGAATTGAAACATGTACAACTAGCCCTCAAGATGAATGGTTACTCTGACCGTATCATTCGCCAAGCTGTTTCTCCTACCATACAGAAGCAACCACTTGACACTCCGATCAAAATCACCACACTGCCATACATAGCAGGTGTCATCAAAAGGATTTCCAAAATTCTAAACAAACACAAGATCCAGGTTCGATTCAATACAGTACACAAAATCCATGATCTGATCCCATCCGTAAAGGATGTAATTCCTGACTTACAGTACCCCGGTGTTTACAAATTGAGTTGTATCTGTGGTGACTGCTATATCGGGGAGACGAAACGACATATTTCTGACCGAATTCGCGAGCACAAATCAGATTTGAAACACGGCAGAACGAATTCGTCGGGCGTAGCTGATCATTGTCTCAACACAGCGGGTTCTCATGACATTGTTTTCTCCGATACCAAAGTGCTATGCAAACCTCCCGGTTATTACCAAAGATTTGTCCATGAAGCCATCCAGATATACAAACATAGACACAACTTCAACCGAGAGGATGGTTTTAAATTAAGCAACCACTGGAAAGATGTCATAAACCAAGTCAAAACTTCAGCTACCTTATAAGCGCACAGCCTTTTTTACCATTTTTCATTGCCCGCTTGCAGCGAACCACCGCTTCCCCCGGACCCTCAACATAACAAAAGACGGATTAACTTGGCCTCGTCGTCGTTCCCTGCTTGGCTCCTCCCCCCCACCTTAACCTGTATATAAGCTCGAGGGTCTTGGAGCTCACCACTTGATGCAGCTATCTTGCTGAGACTGTTCCACCTGAAGACGGAAGCTTGTGTTGCCTCCGAAACGTCGTAATTTGATTTAGTTGTTTTCTTTCATTTTGATTTTGTTTTGTCTACGTGACTTTACCGAAAAAACCAAAGAGTATGAATCCTTGCAGTCACGAAAGCTTAAAATCTAGAATACACACAATACATTCTCATTTTAAAGCTCACAGCGTCTTCTGCCCGCCGCCCCTCCCGACTCTTTCCCAGACTCAGCGAGACATGGGGGGGCCTCGCAGAGCTGAGGCAGCACCGGCGATCTGGGCCAACATCTTCATCGTTGTCGTCGTCACCGCTTCTCTCACACAGCGTGGGTGCCACTCAGCGTGTGTCCGTGCGTGTCCTGGGGTGCAGTGTCGCGCATCCACAGGCTGGGGGGGAGGGGTGGGGACTACCCCCCCCCCTCCAAGACAAAGATTCCCCGTGTAGCCTTATCAGATTTGGGGCAAGTGCCGTTCGCATGCACCTATCAAGGCCGACACTGTGGCACACGACGTGGTGGGTGGCGAACACCTCGCCTCTGTCCTCCGAGTCGGGATGTTTACTACACACCGCAGCAGGTACTCAATATGGAGGCGGAGTCGACCTAGGGGAAACCCAGGACCAGTTTCAAATAATCATCACCGGTGTTGGCCGTGAGCAGGAATCCAACTTGGGTCGCGGGGTTCGTAGCGCAGCGCGCTAACCGCTGCGACAACGCTCCCCAACATCCACCCTCGTTACCGGAGATAACGCATTGCACTAGTGTTGTGTTGTCATTGATGCCGGGCCCCATTTGAAATCGATGGACACGTTGGGTGTGGGCACTGCTACTGGTGTGACTGGCGTGGACGGGGAGACCACACGGACCCACAGCTCCCTTCAGTGGAGACGCTTCTGCCAGCCGCGGTGGCACCTTCACAGTGGCAATTCATTGCTGTGAAGAAGAGCTTCATAGCTCACCGGATTCCTACAATTTCAATACAGATTCTGATTAATTAGTCAGGTAGTAGATTCCTGCGACCCCCCCATGCCCCTCCGACCCCCATCTCCCCCGACCCCCATCCCCCCATACCCCTCCCATCCCCCCCGACCCCCAAACCCCGTCTGACCCCCCCATCCCCCCCTGTCTCCCATCCCCAACGCGGCTCTCCCAGGCTCCATCTCAGCGGCGCGGCTGCCCATGGTGGAGGTGCGAGCGCCCCTCTCGGGCTCCGCGCTGCTGCCCTGCCCTGTGCCCCCGCTGCCGCTGCCCTCCGCGGAGAAGAGGCTGCCCCCGCTGCCCCGCGTTAAGTGGACCCTGTTGAGCCGCGAGCGTGGTGGGGGGCCGCTGCCCGCGGCTGTGGCGGCGGCGGCGGGGAGTCGCGAGGCGGTGGCCCCCGGCTACGAGGGGCGCGCCTCCCTCCCCGCGTTCGCCACGGACCCCCGGAATGGGTCCCTGGCTCTGGGGGACCTCCGGGACGGGGACCGAGGACTCTACCTCTGCGAGGTCATGATGGGCCTGGAGGACCTGAAGAGGGCCGTGAGGCTATACGTGGAAGGTGGGGGAGGGGGATGTGGGGGAGGGGGGAAGGGGCGGGGGGGGGGCAGCGTCATCGTTTGTAGATTCATCATCGGCAGCAGCATCGTCAGTAGCAGTAGCAGCAGCATCATCATCAGCGGCAGCATCATCAGCAGCAGTAGCAGCAGCATCAGTAGTAGCATCATCATCAGTAACAGCAGCATCCGTAGCAGCAGCATCATCAGCAGCAGTAACATCATCATCAGCAGCAGCATCATCAATAGTAGTAGCAACAGCATCATCAGCAGAAGTCTCATCAGCATCAGATGTGTCAGTAGAAGCATCATTGATGGCAACATTGGTTGCATCACCAATATCGGTAGCATCGTCACTAGCAACAGTAGTAACAGCATCAACATTAGCATCAGTTACAGCAGCTTCAATTGCGTGATCAGCACTGTATTAGTAGCAGCAACATCATGAGGATCACAAGTTGCATCATCATCAATCCAGCACAACAACCATCATCACCTGTAGCAGCGTCATCATCAGCACAAGCCACATGATCGTGATCATGACCACTTGCATCAAACGCAGCAGTAGCGTCATCACTATTATTAACGTCAGCACCACAACCATCATCAATAACACGGCCAAATTACCACCACCACCTCCATTATCATCACCAACGCCACCACTACCTCCACTATTAGCATCACCAAGTACAAAGATCCCCCATATAGCCTGTGACAGACTGTTGGGGCAAGTGCTGTTAGCCATGTAGCAGCTATGAAAACCAGCTCAGTACCACGCCCGACATCTCCCCCATCATCAACACCACCACGACCACCATCACCTCCACCATCAACACCACCACGACCACCATCAACACCACCATCAAAACCACCACTACCACCACCATCTCCACCATCAACATCACCACTGCCACCATCCACACCACCGTCAACACCACTACTACCATCATCACCTCCACCATCAACACCACCATCACCTCCACCATCACCTCCACCATCAACACCACCACTACCACCATCAAAACCACCATCAACACCACCACTACCACCATCAACACCACCATCAACACCAACAACAACCGCCATTCGCCACTAAGTGGCGATGACGTCACCACGGCGCTTGTGCCAGGCTAAGTGCACTTTAACGCGACATGAAGTGTTGAACACCCGCTGGCAGGAGGTTACGGGACAGACCCAGGTGCCATGAGTTGACTGAGATGAATGGCTGATGCACCACCTGTGGACCCTACTGTGACAACTTGTGTTTTAGCTGCCCGACGCTCCGCTCATTGGTGTGAGCGTCGCTCCTCTGCCTTCCATTATTGCTGGAGAACGACTGCCACCAACTTCCCAGTAGCGTCCTTCACGAGCCTCCTCCTTGGAGGCCGATCTTGACACCGCTGTTGCCAGTCATCGGAAAGTCTACTCAGCCCCACATCCTCTCTTCTCTAGCTGGTACCGCACCTGTTTAGCCCCCTCTATTCGGCTGAACACAAGCTGATTAGGCATGCGGTGGCTGGGCATGCGGGCTACATGACCCAGCCAACGCAGCTGTGCTTGCCTTAGGAGCTCACCAATGGGACTTTATCCAGATCTTTCAAGGATTTGTGAGCTCCTCACACAATCCAGCCTGGTTAAACCTAGGATGGATCGTAGGCAGGCCAGCCTAAATGTTTCTAACTGGCGAAGATGTTCCATTAAGGGGGTCCACGTTTCGCAAGCAAAGAGAAGGGAGCGCATGACCATGGCCGAAAAGACCCAAAGGTTCGTGTGGAGTGACAGATCGGGTTGCTTCCGCACAGTGTTAAGCATCCGATGAAAAGATAATGCCGCTCGAGTAATTCAGAGTAAGACCTCTGCTGTCAAACCGGAGCTGGTTTGATGGCACAAAATACTGAGGCAGGTGCTTATTTTTGGTGGGGCTCTTAGTGGCATGCTCCAGGTTCAGCAGCAGTGCCTCCAACTCCTCCTCTGAGTGAGCAGCAATCACCAGATCATCGGAATACATAACATGGTTGACCGATAGGGAGCTATCCCTTGACTGCACCTGGGCATCGATCAACCTCCCATTGTATCTGTATCAGATGGAGATTCCTCCGGTACAGCCATAAAAGGCTTCACAAACCACGTGGTCAAAAAATATGTAAAATTATGTGGGAGCCAGAGGACATCCCTGTCACACCCCAAGGTGAACAGGGAATGTCTCTGACTCCCAGCCATGTAGTTTTACCCGGGCTTGCCCACCATCATGAAGGTCCTTAAGAATTGTGAACAGTGAGTCAGGGACTCCGAATGCATAAATAACAACCCAGAGCCCAGGCCTATTGATGGTATTATAGGCCTTGACAAGGTAAATAAAGCAGAGATATAGGGCTTGTTGGAATTCCCTACACCTCCACTGTCGCAGAAGGACAGAAAATATGGCATTTGTGCAGGACTGTCCTGGCCTGAAACCGCATTTGGACTCCGCAAGCTTCTCCTCAGCGTGCCTGGCAAGGCGGATGTTGAAAAATCCTTGCCAGGACCTTACCCAGCACACTGAGGAGGGAGATGCCCCTGTAGTTGTTATACCATCACTACCACCATCACGTTCACCATCAACATCACCACCACTACCACCACCACCACTACTACCATCACGAGTACTACCACTATCATTGCCACCACCATCAACACCACCACTACCTACATCACCATCACTGTGCGATAACACAATTTTCCCTCTTCCCCCCCCCCCCCCGCATCAGGCGTGGTGTTCCATTACCGGGCCCCCCAGGGTCGCTACGCGCTCAACTTGCGGGGGGCTCGGGAGGCATGTGAGCGAGCCGGTGGGGTTTTGGCGAGCCCCCTGCAGCTGTCAGCCGCCCTGCATGACGGCCTCCACCAGTGCGACGCCGGGTGGCTCAACGATGGCAGCGTTCGGTCAGTAACCCCCCCATCAACAATGGCAGCGTCCAGTCAGTAGCCCCCCATCAACGATGGTAGCGTCCGGTCAGTAGCTCCCCATCAACGATGGTAGCATCCGGTCAGTAGCTCCCCATCAACGATGGTAGCGTCCGGTCAGTAGCTCCCCATCAACGATGGTAGCATCAGGTCAGTAGCCCCCTACAACGATGGTAGCGTCCGGTCAGTAGCCCCCCTTCAACGATGGTAGTGTCCGGTCAGTAGCCCCCCTTCAATGATGGCAGCGTCCGGTCAGTAGACCCCCATCAATGATGGCAGCGTCCGGTCAGTAGACCCCCATCAACGATAGTAGCATCCGGTCAGTAGCCCCCCATCAACGATGGTAGGATCCGGTCAGTAGACCCCCATCAACGATGGTAGCGTCTGGTCAGTAGCCCCCCATCAACGATGGTAGCGTCCGGTCAGTAGACCCCATCAACGATGGTAGCGTCCGGCCAGTAACCCCCATCGATAATGGTAGCGTCCGGTCAGTAGACCCCCATCAACGATGGTAGCGTCCGGTCAGTAGACCCCCATCAACGATGGTAGTGTCCGGTCAGTAGACCCCCATCAACGATGGTAGTGTCCGGTCAGTAGCTCCCCATCAACGATGGTAGTGTCTGGTCAGTAGCCCCCCATCAACGATGGTAGCGTCCGGTCCGTAGCTCCCCATCAACGATGGTAGCGTCTGGTCAGTAGTCCCCCATCAACGATGGTAGCGTCCGGCCAGTAACCCCCATCGATAATGGTGGCGTCCAGTCAGTAGACCCCCATCAACGATGGTAGCATCCGGTCAGTAGACCCCCATCAACGATGGTAGTGTCCGGTCAGTAGACCCCCATCAACGATGGTAGTGTCCGGTCAGTAGACCCCCATCAACGTTGGTAGCGTCCGGTCAGTAGACCCCCATCAACGATGGTAGTGTCCGGTCAGTAGACCCCCATCAACGATGGTAGTGTCCGGTCAGTAGACCCCCATCAACGATGGTAGCGTTCGGTCAGTAGCTCCCCATCAACGATGGTAGCGTCTGGTCAGTAGCCCCCCATCAACGATGGTAGCGTCCGGTCAGTAGCCCCCCATCAACGATGGTAGCATCCGGCCAGTAACCCCCATCGATAATGGTAGCGTCCGGTCAGTAGACCCCCATCAATGATGACAGCGTCCGGTCAGTTGCCCCCAATCAACGATAGTAGTGTCCGGTCAGTAAACCCCCATCAACGATGGTAGTGTCCGGTTAGTAGACCCCATCAACGATGGTAGCGTCCGGTCAGTAGCCCCCCATCAACGATGGTAGCATCCGATCAGTAGCCCCCCATCAACGATGGTAGCATCCGGTCAGTAGCCCCCCATCAACGATGGTAGCATCCGGTCAGTAAACCCCCATCAACTATGGCAGCATCCGGTCAGTAGACCCTCATCAACGATGGTAGTGTCCGGTCAGTAGACCCCCATCAATGATGGTAGCGTCCGGTCAGTAGCCCCCCATCAACGATGGTAGTGCCCTGTCAGTAAACCCCCATTAATGATGGCAGCGTCCGATCAGTAGCCCCCCATAAACGATGGCAGCGTCCGGTCAGTGGCCACTGGTTGGGGGGGGGGGGGGGGTGGTGACGGGGGAAGGGAAGTGTAACCAACCTAACGAACACGAGGGTATCAGAGAGGGGAAATGGAAGGGCAGAGTTCGGGAGTTTTGGCAAGAAGAGGAAAACGGGGGGACGTCACACGGGGGGTTGTTAACGTCCACTGCAAGGCAGACGGCACGTGCTGCGTTAACAAGGGTGGCCGTTGTGTTAGATCCGTGGAACCTTTGCAAACAAACTGGGTGAACGCGCTGGGTCACCACCACCATCACCACCACTCGTGTCCAGACCTGGGCTGGGCCTCCACTAGGTTGACTCAGGCTGAACAGGTTTCGATGTGCGTGCATGTCCCAGGTACCCGGTGTTGGTGCCGAGGCCTGGCTGCTACGGGGACCTGCGCGGGGGTCCCGGGGTGCGGTCCTACGGAGTGCGCAGCCCCTCGGAGACGTACGACGCCTACTGCTACACGGGGGACGACCAGGGTACGATCCTGGGGCCTGGGCCCTCTGCGACCTCTCGGACGGACTGTCTCTTGATCCCCCAATCCCTCATAACCCCCAATTCTTCAATCCCTCGATACCGTGATCCCTCAACAATCTCTCGACCCTGCCTTTGAATCCTCGATCTCCCTAAGCCTTGACCTTCTGTTCCCTCAATTGGACAGATTCTCAATTCCTTGAGCCCTTGATCCTCTTGATTCCTGCATTCACAATCCTTCCATCTCCAGCTCATCATATCTTGCCCCTCTTGGATCTTTCTAGGTCGTCTTCTCAGTCTTCACTGTCTCTCTCTCTGTTCCTCCTCATCCTGGCGCTCAATCCACGCTGTATCTTTCTCTCTTTTCGCCCTCCCCCTTCACTGGAACAAACTTCCTGCTCCACATGAAGCAGTCACCTTCGCTCACTACGTTTCCACTCCTCACTCAAAACTCACACGAATTGTTCCCTAGCTCACCCCACGACCCCCCTTAGTCTCCCCCTCATAACCACCACCGTTCCTGTTCCCTCTTCATATTCTCATGGCTATCACTCATTAACTCAATTAATGCATTCAATCCATTCATCATCATTTACTATCATCTATTTGGCTTTCACTGAATTCACGCATCACAAATTCACCTGCATTGCTTCCTCTCATCTATTTAATTCACCTCATCTCCACCATTACATTTACACGATGTTCCATTGATACTTTTGTGTAAAGTGCCTTGATTAAGGGCTATATAAATTACGTTAAGATATCCCAATTCCACTATTTATGAATCCCTCCGTCACCTGATCCATTTGTCCTCTGATTCCTAGATCCTCTTATCCTCCAATCCCTCAATCTCTTGATCCCAGTCCCGAACTCCATCATCACCTCCCTCCCCCACACGGGTGAGGTCCCCTACCTGGGGCTCGCAGTTGTACACTCCAAATCCCTCAATCCCTGAATCCTTCAATTCCAATATTCCTCCATCATCTGATTTCTCAATCCTTCAATTATAATAGATCCACCTTTCCCTTCATCCCCAATCTAAAAAAAATCCTTTGATCCACTCGATCCACTGACCACTCCATCCATTGACAAATTGACCTCCAGTGTTGCGGTTCCCGGGAGCCACCGATTCCTCCGATCCCCCATCACTGACACTGTCACCACCTCCCTCCCCCTGTCCCTCTCCCCCCTTCAGGCGAGGTCTACTACCTAGAGCGGGCCGGCACGCTTCCGTTCCCTGCGGCGGTGCTCGCCTGCGCCGCCGCCGGCGCTTCCCTGGCCACGGTGGGGCAGCTCTACTCGGCGTGGCACCACCACGACCTGGACCGCTGCGACGCCGGCTGGCTCGCTGACGGCAGCGTACGCTACCCCATCACACGCCCACGTGACAACTGCGGTGGCGGGGAGCCCGGCATTCGCACCCTGCACCGGCGCCCCGACCAGAGCGGCTTCCCCGAGCCGGAGACCCCCTACGGGGTCTACTGCTACCGGGGTATGAGACAGTAGAGTAAGGGGGGCATGGGGGGGGTGCAGGGGGGGGGGGTTGCGCAGTAGAGGGATCGAGGTTCCAGCAGGCTTGTGTTGCGTAACTGTGTTGGAACTCACAAAGGGCCAGGAGAGGGACTCATTCACAAGGGTGACGCCTGGGCTTGAAGAATATTCGTAGAGCTTGCACGTGGAACTTATTTCGTGCCGTATGTAGCCAACCGTGCTAATTGGAGGTGCAAGCGTCTTCTATAGGTCGGGGGTAGAGGGAGTAAGGGGCAGGGGGATTGGTAGTGGAGAAAGTGGGATGCTTGGCTAAAGGTGGCCCTTGAGGTGTGGCTGTGGAGGTGCAGGGGTTAAGATGTAAGATGCTGCCGCTGATGATGTAATGACGATGATGGTAAAGATGATCACAATAATGACAGTGATGATGACGATGTCTCCGCTCAGAAAACAAGACCTCCACCTCGTCGCCACCCATTCACTCGAACTTAGACCCCAGCTCCACTCATGGCACCCAGGACCCGGTCTCCGTGACCTCCCTGGGAACCAGGGACTCACGGGGACTCCAAAGACCCCTTGAGGGGTCAGGTCCTCGCACGGGAGTCCCGGCCACAATACTGGGGCCCGGAGGACGAGGAGGGGACTTCAAGGAAGCGATATTAGAGGTCAGCGAACCCGAGGACTCGGGACCAGTGGCTTCCGAGAGCCTGGTAGCTGAGCCAGAGAAGAAGTGGCACGTTACTATGGAGGACCACGGTTTGCTCCAATTTTCTCCCATGGGAGGCTGGGACAGGCCCCATGCAGATGACGACCATCTCGAAATGGCAGTCACCACCACCACCACAACAACAACATTGAGGCAGCTGCCCCATCATCATCAGGAGCAGGCGGCCCGACCACCGGTGGAATCGGATCAAGCCAACCGAAGGATAGCAGAGACGGCGCTGGGGGGGGACGTGGGGTCGGACGGCACCAGTGGAGACGGCTCCCCCGAGGGGTCGGCGACCGGAGCCATCGTGTCAGAGACCCCCATCCCTGCCGTCCCCATGCGCCTGACGCCATCTCCACCGTCCGACCCTATCGGTCGCCTCCAGGCCCAAGAAGACCGAGAGGAGATGACGGCAATGACCGCAATGACGACATGGAATGTGGCCCGAGTGGCTGCTGACGAGGCTGGCCCCGATGGTCCAGCCATGGCAACGCTGAGCCCGGCTCCACGGGAGATCACAGAGGGCCCCATGCTGATCCTGCCGGAGTCATCGTGGGTGAACCGGGTGACGGAGAGAGAGGGGGTCATGGCGGGTGAGAGGGGGTCACCGTGGAGAGAGGGGGTCATGGCGGGAGGGCCCGTGGTGGAAGGTGGGTTTATCCTCACCGTGATCAGTCCCCATCTCTCTGTGACGGCCGGAACCACGGAGGCCGTCCAGACCCGGATGGAGCCACCGGGGACCCAATGGAGGCAGCCGACTGGGACCCGGCCTGCCCAGCTTGAGAAGGGGAGCTTAGCCCGGCCATCGCAAAGTGAGTGGGGACCCTTGGAACCGTGGTATAGTGTGGTGCTCTGGAACTCATTTATACTGATGTGGTGCACTGTCAAGTAACAGATGATGATAATGTTGTTGATAAGGGTATGGTTGATGTTCATGATGGTGTGGTTGACGTTGATGTAGGTGTGGTTGGTGTTGATGGAGAGTGGTAGTGTAGCGGTTAGCGCACTGCGCTACGGACCCAGCGACCCGAATTCGATTCCCACTCACAGCCACCAGCAGTGACGAATATCTGAATCGGTCGTGGGCCTCCCCTAGGTCGCCTCAGCCTCAAATGAGTACCTCGTAAGGTTTTTAAACATCGCTACTAGGGAAACAAAGGTGTCCGGGCGTGGTGCTGACCACGCACCCCCTAGTGTGCCATGCCGGCCTTCATAGGTGCTGCTTGCTAACAGCACTTGCTCCCAACAGTCTGTTGTAGGCCATACGGGGAAGCTTGGTCTTTGGTGTTGATGACGGTGTGGTTGGCATGGTCCCTGTCGGTCTCCCCTAATTATATTCGCATCACGCTGTTAGGGTTGCATCGTCCGTGAGACGAAGAATCCTTTCGGATCTCTCGCAAGGCAGCGCGACCCTCTGTGTTGGAGAATGTGCCCCACAGAACCGGATGTCACACAGCTCCCGGAGAGATCCCTTCGATCAATGTTTGGTCCTCCACAGTAGAGGGTGCCAGTTTCCCCATCCGCCCTCCATTATGGGAGCAATGTTCATTGCATAGCAGTGCTTTATGTGTGTACCTTAAGTGCGTAACCAAATTTAATTTGAGGAAAGCAGTTATTGGTGACCGGGCTGAGACCAGCAACTCGCTCCACTTGAGAGCCCAGTTTAATCACAGGCAGTGGCTGAAACCCAGATTCGAACCAGGCTCTCAGTCCTGCCGGCTCAGCACTCTGGCCTCGATGCCACCCGGGGCCTCCTCCATTATGGGCTACAGAGTTGTGGAGCAGGGCGCAGTGAAGCCTGGGACCTCACGGAGGGAAATTACAACTGTGCCATGCGGAAGTGATTTGTGGGGATTTGAATACTTTGTCTTTTTTTGACAATATCACGTTGGAGTGGGGGGGGGCAACTCCCGAGTTGCCCATGGAGTGAGGAAGAGAAGAAGAGACCCTGGCAATTACCACCACCCCTCCACCTGCACCCAGGCGCACAGCGACCTATTTCAACGGTGGGGTGAGTGGGGGCTGTGGAAGCTCCGACTGTAGGCTGCTCCCTCATTTCTCCCGACTCACTTTTGACTGAAATAGCTACGAATGTGTTTAACCCCACGTACAATAATACGTAGGTTATAACTATATATAGATGATTCAAGTTGCATCGTGTGTTGGGGTTGAGAGGGATACGGTCTAACGGTGACAGTTGTAATACAAATTATTAAAATTGTGACAATACTCACAATTAAGTTATCCTGCGTCTTGCTTTCATGTCGTCCCCATCGGACTAGGATATCCTCAAAGGGGGTGGATCACGCAACTTTACGCTGCTCTATTGATACAAAAACCAGATGCATTAACCGGGCTTGGTCCATGGTAGACCGCAGGTAATTCTTAGCGAATGAAAGTAGTTTTAAATAAATTATCTTAACATTTTGTTTACTTCATCTTGTTGATTCGGGGCCCCCCTGTGGCCGCCTGGGCCTCCTATGCATCGCACAACGGTGCCACGTGCCTCCCCACTCCCCCCAGGATAGTTGCGCGGCTGCCCCCACCCCCGTGACGTCACCAGCCTGTGTTCAGTTCCCAGCCGTGGGTTGCCCATTGCGTTGGCTCGGCCAATGGCAGGCAGCGTGAGATGCCAGAAGATGCCAGGAGACACGGGGAGATGTGGGGAGATGCGGAGAGATGCCAGGAGACGCGGAGAGACTCGGGGAGATGTGGGGAGACGCAGAGAGATGCCAGGAGATGCTAGAAGATGCCAGGAGACGCGAGGAGACACGGGGAGATGTGGGGAGACGCGGAGATATGACAGGAGATGCCAGGAGACACGGGGAGATGGAGAGAGATGCTAGGAGACGCGGGGAGATGGAGATGAAACGCAATGTTTTGAGTGTGGGGGGCAGGGAGTGCAAGGGACGGGGGGAGTCAGTGTTGTCTGGACTCTGGTAAACATCACTCGTATGAAATCCATTACTGAGTCCCATTGCACTATGGGGTGAGTATTTAGTTTGTAATCACGGGCTTCTGAGCACGACATGTAAGTTTGCTGTCATCTGCAGAGCAGTGGATCATATTGTGAGTGTAAGATATTTTTTATCAATATGTATGTACAGTATGTATATTCATAATAATAATCTTCCTTAAAAAAGTGTTAACTCTAATCTACCGCAACATTAACAGTGCTGATTGTCAGTGGATACTTGAGGTGTTGGTTCCGCAATCGTGATATATGTACGTATGTAATAATAGGGGTTTCCCCTTTTTTCTGGCAACAAAACCGAAACCTTTTTACGAGGAAGCATATGTGCATTAACCCCAATACTTGTGGTCAAAATGCAAACAAAAAGCACACTGATAATATATGCATTTTAAATTTTGATTTAAAGCTTTCGTGACTGCAGTAATTCATATTCTTAGCTCTTTCGGTAAAGTCACGTTGAAGGGAAACAATAAAATATATAAAAAACAATAAAAATTCTCACGACGTTTCGACCATAACACAAACGGTCATCATCAGGTGTGAAAAAACCAACGGCAAGAAACCGCCACTTCTTTCAATATGCATTGTCCTTGAAACTGATTGGTCCACACCAGAGACGGCTTTCTGTTGAGCCTCGTCTCAATTGGTGCTAGACCAAAGGACGCAAAAAAAAGACGAGGCTCAAAAGAAAGCCGTCTCTGGTGTGGACCAATCAGTTTCAAGGACAATGCATATATTATCATTGTGTGTTTTTTTTGCATTTTGACCACAAGTATTGTGGGTAATGCAGACATGATTCCTTGTAAAAAGGTTTCAGTTTTGTTGCCAGAAAAGAATGGGGAAAACCCTATGATTATACTTTGGTACTAGCAAAGGAGGTCTAATGATGTACGTGTGTGTTTTGAACTTATTTTGCACCGTTCGTAGCCAACCGTTATAATCGGAGATTTAGTGTTGAGTCTATGGGTAGTAGTCTATGGGCAGTAAATACTGTATGTTTAACTTATTTCGCACTATATATAGTCAACCGCGCTAATAAGAGGTGTGGGGAAAGGACAACAAACTAAATACAAAAAGCGAATACAAAGAAGACATAGTGTTGCAGGCAAAAACAATTCCTTGCAGAGCGCCAGAGTTGACGTTGAAGATATCCGCATTGTGACCTCTCAGTCAGAAAGTTGAAAATTCAAGTCTGCAGATAACAGGAGAGCGGATGCCAAATTATGGCAGCTTGGAAAGAAGTGTGCGATTCCCGACGCGATGACGTGCTCCTCTGATCAGCACACGGTTGGCTAGGTACGGTGCGAAATAAGTTTTGATCATAGACCCTCCAGCATGGTCAAGACTTGAGCTCTAGATGAGTCACGTGAGCTGAGAGGTCCCCTGTAGACCATACTTGATGGAACCCACACTGATGGTCATGTTTTACTGCCTTTCCCAACCTTGGGAATTGATGCAATTTGAACTGATATACTTTATTTATGTAAGGGACGTCACGGTCGTCAGATGTTATCTTCGTCCCCTGGTATGCAGTGTGTGGGTTCGATCCCAGCCCTCAAGCCTATATATTTGGCTTTTGCATGTTCTCCCCATGGTCGCGTGGATTTCTTCCTCCGGATTCTCCGGTTTTCCCCTCCACATTTAGAATCAATCAACATGCGTTTAGAGTATTTGGCTGTTATAAATGTCCATGTGTTAAGCCACTTCGTTGAGCTATCACTTTTGGCCAGGTCACTTCTGAAAAAGAGATACAAAGCTTAGTGGGCCTTAGCTGGTAAAACAAAAATAGTTTAGTTTTAAAATAGTATTTTAGTTTAGTAGGAAATTACTTGGCTTGTTAACAAAGCTACGGTGATGATGACTCCCCAAATGATGGCGGTAGCTGTTGATGACAGATTCCATTTTACTTTGGCAGCTGCTGACGCTTAAATTCACCTCTCGCTCTTTTGTTTCTCGCAGAACCCCCACTCGGTCAGCAGGGGGTCAACCCTGACATGACGAACGTCAACCGTGGGCTGGACGTTATTGTCCCTAGGCCTGAGGAGGCAGTGATGATTCGGTCTGAAGGGGCCACATCGCTCAATGTCTTTCCGACGCAGACAGATAATCTGTTGACGTCTCCCATCACGAAAAACGATGTTCCTCCTCCTTCTGTTGCTGAAGTCGTTGCTCATGGAGGAGAGGACAGATGGGACAAGGAGGTGCGTGAGAAGATGGCAGTAGAGGTGAAAACAGACCCAGAGGAGGAGAAGGAGGTGATCGGAGAGGTGGGATTTTTTAAAGCAACGACCACCGAGGACATGGAGGGAAGTGGGGAGGAGACCACAGTCATCATCGCCATAGCAACGGAGGGGATCCAGAGGGGGCCTGCAATTGTGTCACCCTCCTACGCGGAGTCCCTCAGCCCCGCCAAGACGGCGATGATTGAGGGGTCAGGGTGGATTCTGGGCAAGGTGGGTGAGTTGGCGGATGAGGTGGTAGAGCATGAGAATGTGATGAACGAGGAGGTGAACGGGGAGGTGGACCTGAAAGATGAGGCAGTTGACAGAACCTCTCACCATCCAGGCGAGGTCACAAGGGCAATGGCCTCCCCTCTGACCCCACCTCGAGTCCCACCTTTAACTGCACCTGGGGCCACCCCGTCAACCAGAGTGGGCCTCCAAGGCCTCGAGGAGACCTCAACTCTGGGGGTAGGAGGAACCCTCCATTTTCATGATGATGGCACCGATGAGAAGGAAGGAAGTGCAGATTCCCTGGTAGGGAGGCTCCAGGGGGAAGAGGGTGCAGGGATCTTTCTTCAGCTCCCCGACCTCCCCGTGCCCACCTCGCTGTCTCGTGCAGCTCCAGAGACCTCGCACCCAAATGGTGAGGAAGAGAAGGAGCCCAGGGGCTTGGCCGAAGGTAGTGGCTTTTCGGTGGACTACGCCCTGAGAGAGGATTTTGCCGAAAACGTGTCGTCCATGCAATTTTCCACTGCCATAGCCACCACCACCACAGCGACTTCCACAGCGGCGCCGGCGGAGGGGCACTTGAGCCGACTCAGCGGCATCTTCGGTGCCGAGGAGACGCTGCGCTTGCTACCAAGCTCGGCGCTGGCGGACGGAGCGGTGAATACGGGTGATCTCATTGCTGCAGAGCGGAGCAGCATTACCACGGAGCCAGGAGGAGAAACGGCAAGGTTTTCAGAAGAGTCTCCACCAGCCTACACAGCAGGTTTTATGCAAGATACGCCGCCATACTCTCAACCAGAATCCACAAAAGACTTTCCACAAGGCTACACACCAGCAGCCTCCTCACAATACTCTCCACCAGGCTACACAACCGATCCAACTCTAGACTCTCCACCAGATTTCATACCACACTTACTACCGGACTCCTCAAGATATTCTCCACCAGACTCCTCACCAGACTCTCTCGCAGACGCCTCAAGAGACACCTCACGAGGCCTTACAGCAGACTTTCGACCAGACTCTCGACCAGACTCTCGCCACCATGAGCACAGGGAATCCTTTGAGCCAGAGGTGCTGGAGCACAGGCAGGTGCAGTTTAGCCTCGGTGATTTCACCACTGAGCACTTGGGTCCTGGAGCTTTGCGGAGGGCCAACATCGACCTGAAGGGCGAAAATCTTAACCTGGTGAAGAGCGGGGGGCGCTTGGAGGGCGGCAGCAGGGCTACGATGGAGGCACCCACTCCTCCTCCCTCGCTTTCATCGCTTGCATCTTCCACAGAGTCCCCCACCGATCCCCACAGAGCCGGCTTGGAGCCAGGGAGTGGGCACCTGGAGGAGGGGTTAGGGATGACGGGGCCTGCACCGCACACCTCCTGGAAGCCTGGACACACCTACATCTCAACAGGCACACCTGGACCCGAATCTCCTGGATTAGTGTCTCCTGAGGTTCAGCCCCCTGTATCTGTGCCTCCTGAGTTCAAATCTCCAGGGTCCACTTCTCCTGAGATTCAGTCTTCTGTATCCACATCTCCTGGACTTGAGTCTCCAGGATTCTCGTCTCCTAAGTTTCAGTCTTCAAAAGCCGTGCCTCTCGGATCCGTGTCTCTGGAACCAACCGGATCTGACACCAAGCATGTGGGGGTGGTGACAGGTGAGATAAATACGTGACAGTGTGACAGGTGAGAGTAATACATGACGGTGTGACAGGTGAGTGAGGCAGGTGAGGGCAATACATTATGCAGTGGTTATCACACTGCTTATGAACCCAGTAACCTGAGTTCAATACCTGCTCACGGCAAACATCGTTGACGATCATGTGAACTGGTCCTGGACTTCCCCTAGGTCGACTCAGTCTTAAATGAGTACCTGGTGTGATGTTTAAGCATCAATATTGGGGAGACAAAGGTGGCCGTGCATGGTGCTTGCCATACCATCCCTTCATTCGCCATTCTTTCCTTATTGGATGCTTGCTAACAGCTCTTGCCCCAATAGTCTGTTAAGGTTACACAGATGATCATTGTCTTCGTTGGTCAGTGTAGTCTATGTGTGGAATGGTATCAGTGTGTATGTGTCATTGTGGGTCAATATGTCAGTGTGTGTGTCAATGTGAGTGTGGGGAGCGGTCGCGTAGTGGTTGGCGCACTGTGCTACGCACCCGGCGACCCAAGTTTGAAACCCGCTCACGGCCAACACCAGTGACAATTATTTGAACCGGTCCTGGGCATCCCCTAGGTCGACTCGGCCTCAAATTAGTACCTGGTGTGGTTTGTAATAATCGCCACAGGGGAGATAAAGGCGGCCAGGCGTGGTGTTGGTCACTCACCCCCTCGTGTGCCATGCCGGCCTTCATAGTTGCTACTTGCTAACAGCAGTTGCCCCAAAAAGTCTCTTGAGGCTATACGGGGGATCTTTGTTTTCAATGTGAGTCAATATGTACGTTTTTCCATGTGTGTGTACTAACGTGTGCTGTTTTTCCCTCCTTCCCTCGTCCCCTCTCCTCCGTGCCCCCTCTTCCCCAAGCCCCCTCTCTTGCGCGTCCCCCAGACGTGGCGGCGGTGTCCTGTGAGCCCGGCTGGCACGGCTTTGGGGGGCGGTGCTACCGCTACGTGGCAGAACGGCTACCCTGGGCGGAGGCAGAGGAGGCCTGCCGCTCTGTGGGAGGCCACCTGGCGAGCATCGCCTCCCGCGACGAAAACAACTTCATCCTTGGTGAGTGTGGGGGGCCTGGCCATGGGGTGGCGGCGGAGTAGAGGTCGGTTGGCATCGCGGGGCCCAAGTCAAGATCATCGCTAGGTCAGCCTTATCCCATAATCCTAACCCTGGTCCTGCTGCTTGTGCTCGTTGGTGGATCAATGTTGAGGTTACAAAGTCCACCTCGGATGATTAAAATGTGAAGGTAGCGAGCGCGATGATGATTTTGATGATGTTGATGATCATATTAAACGGCCATAATTAGTTTTAAAATTAATAATTTCACAAGCAGAGTATTTAAGAACTGTAGGTCATTGCAAATTACACAAATCGCACCACACCCAGAAGACATTTCTGCACCCGGCACACCACGTTAAGTATACCTCTCGCTAAGGCTGCAGGCGCAACAGTGGCCCAGATGTTAACTACCTCGCCTGTTATGCAGGAGGTCGTGGGTTCGATCCCGACCCTGATGCCTGCTCTATATTTGGAGTTTGCATGTTCTTTCTGTGGTCGCGTTTATTTTTCTCCGGGCCCTCCGGTTTTTCCCTCCACATTTACAATCCACATGCGTTTAGAGTATTTGGCTGCTATAAATATCCACATGACGATAAGCTACTTCATTGAGCTATCAATTGTGATAGCCAGGTGGCTATCATTGGGCCTTACCCAGTTAAGTACAACGTATTTTAAATAGTCAATTTAACACGTAGATTTTTGCGACCAATGCTATCCATAATATATGTTTTGGGGGTTTGATCGTGTAAATATAATTGCGTCGTTAAACCCACCACCACACAACACAGACAATTCATAAGGTTTGTCACGTAAACAAAAGATGCCAATTAGTTGCTCGTCCAGTACACCGGTTGTGTGTTGAAGAGTAAACCCACAAGATTTAGAATTCAAGTACCGTAACGTTTTAGTTTAAAAAAACATCAAGCGCTGCTGACTTCAGTCCAACAACCAGCAAAATATCCAGTGAGAAATTAAACTCCCCCCTTAACATTCGCCCCACTACTCGAGCACAAAGTGCTGGGTGAAGTGTCCTGAGCTTGTGCAGCGACCGCCCAGTTTGCCTTGAAAGGAGAGAGCAGCTTCGGACCGCCACCCTTCTCGTGTCTCCGGTCCCCACAGCCCTCGGCTCCGACTACCAGTGGATCGGACTCAACGACCGCTTCTCCGAGGGAGACTTCCACTGGAGCGATGGCTCCCAGCTGGTGAGGACAACCGAGCAGGTTGCCAATGAGTTTCCACCCTTTCTGGCGGTTGTTGACAATAATATTTTTGGACGATGAATAATAATAATTTCTATTTTTGCTTACATCGTCATTCATGCTAATTGCATCTCACAACGCTGTACAATAACGATATGCATAATCACATGAAGGGCGAAATCTCATTGATAGCAATTATTATTGTTGTTAAGTAATTGAAACTCTCAGAAACTAAAAATGAATAATTGAATCAAGAAATGGAATAAAAACAAAAGGTATAAACAACAGCAAAAAGTTATCACAATAGAGTTACAGAAATTATTAATGATACGAAGGGGTAGCTCCTCACACTGGCAAGAGCAATTGGCGCACGACCTCAATTTCTCCTCACACAAGCCAGGAAACTTTCACAGGAGGAGTGGTAGAATGCCAATAAAAGTGATGACTAATTTAGATCAATCGGTCGAAATGTCCGACATGTGATTTTCTATCTGGACGTATTGGCGGTACACCGGTGCAACGTGTTCTAAAATCAACATTTGAACTGATGTTCGCCTTCCAACTGCTTCTAAATCACGAGAATTAATTTTGACGCACCACCACCCCACAAAGATTTTCTGACCGGGGGTTGCAAATCGCGGGAAAATGAATAATTATTGGGATGAATGTGCTCTTTTTCATACTGCGCACCACCGGTGTACCGCCAATACGTTCTCCAGACAGTCTCGTCCCTTCACCTGATGAAGGCCGCTTGTGTTGTGGCCGAAACGTCGTGAGAATATTATTGTGTTATTTTATTTTATCAATTTACTATTTTATTCTCATTCTACGTGACTTTACCAAAAGAACCAAAGAAGATGAATTCTTGCAGTCACGAAAGCTTTAAATCGAAATACAAATAACTTAATTATATAGCTAAATCTTGACTTAAAGCTTTCGTGACTACAGGAATTCATATTCTTCGGTAAAGCCACGTAGATATCTATGTGGCTTTACCGAAAGACCCAAAGAATATAGAAAGCTAAAATAAAGGAGATACCGGGTGGAAGCGGCCACACAAAGAGAGAACACCGAACACGATCATCCTCATTTTTCAAACATTGGCCATCTAACTTTAAACTTTGATTTATGTCAATATTAGTACAAATAGTACAATATTAGTACAAATAGAACCCACGCATATGCCTCTAGCAGCTTATGTTGATGATGTCCACATTTCATATTCACAAATGGACACAGACCAATCATCGATTGTCAAATTTTGTCAAGATATTTATACCATTAATCACCATCAACATTACCACCACCAATATTGCTACGTTGCTACCACCACCATAAGTATGTACGTATGAAGCCAACCGTGCTAATCAGAGGTGCAGTGTTGAGTCTATGGGTAGTGTTAGTCTATGGGCAATATGTTGAACTTCTTTCACACCGTACATAGCCAACAGTGCTAATCGGAAGTTGCGGGATGGACAACAAACTTAACACAAAAAGCAGTTCAGTGTATTGTCCTTCCCCTGCACCTCCGCTTAGCACGGTTGGCTACCAATACCAATACCCGCCATTCACCACTAAGTTACGGTGACATCACTACAGCGTCTGCGCCAGGCCAGGTGCACATTGAGGCCACGTGAAGCGTCAAAGGCTCGCTGACAGAAGGTCATGGGACAGACCCACGTGTCATGGGTTGGCTGACTGAGATGACTTTCATATGCACCAGCTGGTTGGCTACCACAATCACCTCAACCATCATTACCACTGCACCACCACCATCACCACTGGTACCTCTTCCACCACAACCACATTCGCCGCCACCACCACCACCATCACTGCTGGATCTCCATTCGCTCCAGAGCTTTGAGCACTGGCGGCCCCAGCAGCCCGACAGCTTCTTCTCGTCAGGCGAGGACTGCGTGGTGCTCATCTGGCACGAGGAGGGCGAGTGGAACGATGTCCCCTGCACCTACCACTTGCCCTTCTGCTGCGAGACGCAGCCAGGACGCCCGCTCACCTCCCGGAGACCGCTGCGGCTCCTCGTGGCATCGCCTCCTCCTCCTCCTGCCGGTGACTCTCCCAACGCAGTTATGCAAACTCCCCGGCGGGACTTTCGAGCGGAAAATTCGAATCGCTTGAGACGGGAGCTAGGGGGAGGGGAATCTTCTTCATCGCACAAACAAAAATCGCCATATTTTTTACGTGCTGAGAAGAAGGGGGCATTGCCCAACACGTCACCTATTATATATTTAAAATGCTAAGGCTGCACACTCACACCAGCAGCAGCAGTGTCACCAGATAATTCATTTCCTGATTTCAAATACCTTTGGCAGGGCCACACGTTGCCACACAATCTTACCGCTTCCTGACAATAAATCGGAAAGTCAGGGCTTACCTTTAGATTGGTGCATGAAGAATTGGAAAGCACCGGGTTCTACGCCCCTCACACAAACGTGATTGACGACGAGCAGCCTACGCTTGCAAGTTGTGTTGGTCGGCGAGATGAAAGCACATACCGGAGTGATCGGTTCACGCGACCAGGTCACACGAAATTAGCGTAGCAGCTCGATCATCACCTGGAACTGCTTTGTCCACGTCTGAGCGAGGAGATCAAACGGGGCACGTTCATAATCATGACGAGTAGTGGCAGCTCGCTGATGTGTCACATGGCGATTAAACGCGCCGCGACTAATGGCTGAGCAGATCGATGCTTGTGAGCAACCGGCTGCAGGGTGCAACTAGTTGCGCACAGACATCCACATATAAGCAGTGCAGTTGCATGCAACCTCGTTGCGTATCTGATGGCTCAGCTGTGGACCCTGTAACCCACAGGCGGTGGAGTTGTGGTCAGCGCACTGTGCTACGTACCGGGAGAACCGAGTTCTACTCCCCCTCACGGCCAACACTAATGACGATTATCTGAACTGATTCTGGGCCTCCCCCAGGTCGTCTCAGCCTCAAATGCATAGCTGGTGCAGTGTATAAAACATTGCTGCTCGGGAGTCAAAAGTGGCCGGGCATGGTGCTGGCTACCCACCCCCTTGTGTGCCCTGCCGGCCTTCATAGGTGCTACTCGCTAACAGCACTTGCCTCACCAATACCGTTTAGGCTATACCTGCGTACATGCATGTGTGTGCTTGTGTGTGTGTGCGTGCATGTGTGTGCGTGTGTATGTGTGCGTAACACTGTGTGGAAGCTACCTGGTCTGTCGCTCTGCACTAAGCTTCAGGTACTCTTTGGTTCTATTCGGTAAAGTCACGTAGGTAAAAAATAAAACAACAAAAATCACGACGTTTCGGCCACAACACAAGTGGCCTTCATCAGGTGAAGGGACCAGACTGTCTCGAGGACAGCGCTGGAGTGAACACAGCCAAGCTCAGACCGCGACCTTTAAGCTGTGTGAGAGGAATTAAGGTGCCTTGACAAAGGAATTAGCATAAAAAATAGCATTTAATTGGCGGACTTAGCATGATGAACGGTGTAGAGGGGGTGAACATGTGCAGGCCGGCGAGCGGGGGAGGGGGAGTTTACATATTGATGGTGTGAAAAGGGAATTTTAAGAAGCTGCGAAAGTTTGGGGTACCACTACTTGAAAAAATATACTGTACCATTGAAAATTAGTTTAATGTTTGGTTCGATTTAGAACATCTTTCCAATGATTGCTTAATTTGAAACCATCTTCTTGGTTGAAATTGTGTCTGTGTTTGTAAATCTGAATTGCCTCGTGAACAAATCTCTGATAAAAACCCGTGGGTTTGCCAAGAACCTTGGTATCGGAGAAAATTATATCATGATCACCCACAGCGTTGTAACAGTGATCAGCTACGGCAGAAGAATTCGTTCTGCCGTGTTTCAAATCTGATTTGTGCTCGCGAATTCGGTCAGAGACATGTCGCTTCGTCTCCCCGATATAGCAATCACCGCAGACAAAGCGACATGTCTCTGACCGAATTCGCGAGCACAAATCAGATTTGAAACACGGCAGAACGAATGAGAACGGTCTATGAGGCGAGCGAGGAAGATTATGGCCGATTTCTCCCACCCTGGACACTCTCTGTTTCAGCTACTCCCCTCCGGCAGAAGGCTTCGGTCCATCAGGACCAAAACCTCACGCCATAAAAACAGTTTCTTCCCATCTGCTGCTGGCCTGTTAAACAAGGCCAAGGGCTAACACTGTTTTTAACATTTGATCTACATAACGACACGTTGCTGATATTAACTATGTTTCCCTATTTGTATTTTTAAATTATATCTTAAAGCTATTTTATATTCGATATTTATTTAATTTTATATACTTCAGCCCCTTAGTGTTAGACTTTTAACCCTTATTATAGTAAGACTTGTTTAAAACTTATTTAAGATTTTAGATTCCTATATGTTGAATGTATGCACCATCCTGCCAAAGTAAATTCCGTGTCGGTGTGAACTTACATGGCGAATAAAACCCTTTCTGATTCTGATTCTGAATTCTTCTGCCGTAGCTGATCACTGTTACAACGCTGTGGGTGATCACGATATAATTTTCTCCGATACCAAGGTTCTTTGCAAACCCACGGGTTTTTATCAGAGATTTGTTCACGAGGCAATTCAGATTTACAAACACAGACACAATTTCAACCGAGAAGATGGTTTCAAATTAAGCAACCATTGGAAAGATGTTCTAAATCGAACCAAACATTAAACTAATTTTCAATGGTACAGTATATTTTTTCAAGTAGTGGTACCCCAAACTTTCGCAGCTTCTTAAAATTCCCTTTTCACACCATCAATATGTAAACTCCCCCTCCCCCCCCTCGCCGGCCTGCACATGTTCACCCCCTCTACACCGTTCATCATGCTAAGTCCGTCAATTAAATGCTAATTTTTATGCTAATTCCTTTGTCAAGGCATCTTAATTCCTCTCACACAGCTTAAAGGTCGCGGTCTGAGCTTGTTTGTGTTCACTCCAGCGCTGTCCTCGAGACAGTCTGGTCCCTTCACCTGATGAAGGCCACTTGTGGTGTGGCCAAAACGTCGTGATTTTGTTGTTTTATTTTTTACCTACGTGACTTTACCGAATAGAACCAAAGAGTATGGATCCTTGCAGTCACGAAAGCTACAAATCTAGAATTAAGCTTCAGGTCTTCTCGACCACTGTCATTCCCTCTCTTCTCTACGCTTGCGAAATGTGGACCCCCTTAATGGAACATCTTCGCCGGTTAGAAACATTTAGGCTAGCCTGCCTATGATCCATCCTGGGTTTAACCAGGCTGGATTGTGTGAGCTCACAAATCCTTAAAAGATCTGGGCAAGGTCCCATCGGTGAGCTCCTCCGGCAGGCAAGGCTGCGTTGGCTGGGTCATGTAGCCCGCATGCCCAGCCACCGCATGCCGAAACAGCTTTTGTTCGGCCGGATCGAGGGGGCTAAACGGGCACGGCACGGGCTAGAGAAGAGATGGAGTGATGTGGTACAGGAGGACGTGGAGCTGAGTGGACTTTGCGATGACTGGTACCAGCGGTATCAAGATCGGCCTCTGTGGAGGAGGCTCGTGAAGGACGCTACTGGGCAGTTGGAGGCAGTCGCCCTCCAACAACAACGGAGGGCGGAGGAGCGATGCTCACAACAACGAGCGGAGCGCCGGGTGGCTAAAGCACAGCAGGTTGGCACAGTAGGGGGCACAGGTGGTGCATTAGCCAGTCATCTCAGTCAGTCGACTCGTGGCACCTGGGTCTGCCCCGTGACCTCTTGCCAGTGGACGTTCGACACTTCACGTGGCCTCAAGGTGCACATGGCCTGGCACAAGCGTCGTGGTGACGTCACTGCCACTTCGTGGCGAATGGCGGTTGTTGTTGTGTGTCCGTGCGCGTGTGCATGTGTGTGTGTGCGTGTGTGTGTACGTGTGTGCGTGCCTGTGTGTGTGTCCGTGCGCGTGTGCATGTGTGTGTGTGTGTGCGTGTGTGTGCGTATGCAGCAGGTGTAGTGTGGTGCGGCCACCCCCCCATCGTGAGCAACGCCCGGTGCTTCGGCGCGCCGCACGGCCGCTACGCGGTGGGCGCATCGGTGCGCTACCGGTGCCGGGCCGGCTTCCTACAGCGCCACGCCAACCCCACCTCGCGGTGCCGCCCCGACGGCAGCTGGGAGCGCCCGCGCATCGCCTGCGTCCCACGTGAGCATTCGTCCGCCAGTTCCCAACGCCTCCGTGGTGAAGAACAAAAGCCCAGCCAAGGGGGAGATTCGGATTTTTATTACAATTTTTTTTAGTTGTGTCAAATGTTCGGATCGTGTACGCCACGTGATAATTGAATGGGGCAGAGCGGTGGTACAGCGGTTAGTCCGCTGCACTACGAATCTGGCTCCCCAAATTGGATTCCTTGTCACAGCTAACGTCACTGGTGAGTGATATCAGAACCAGCGTTGTCAAGTTTTGAGCAACCCTTTGATCAGTTTTGTCTGCTGCTCGTTAGCTTACATGCATTTCCCAAAACGTCACCAATTATATATGTTTCCATTTAAGGCCACACACATAATGTTGTTGACGAGTGTGTCCAGTTCTTTGGTTTTAAATATAGCATAAGGGACCCTAATAGCAACACAACTCTGAACGCAAGGTTTATTCAAATTGGATCACCTCAACGAGAGCTATTGTGCTTCCTGTGTAACTGATTGATGTACGTACGTACATTGAACTTCTTTCGCACCGTATGCAGTAGCCAAACCGTGCTAATTGGAGGTGACGGTCGGGACAGAGCCGATGCATAAACGCTGCTAAACCCAAGTTGGAAATCATTTAAATGCAGCCAACGCTGCAGCGTCGCGCCTCGGTTGCGTAATATGGGGAGGAGGCGCATTACGGATGTCGTGCCGGATGTCATGTCGCCGCAGGGCCAGCGACACAACCGGAGCAGGAGAAGCGGCCCGTGTGGTTCAGCCTCTACAAGGACGCATGGCTCCCGGCCCGCGCGTCGCGCTGGGTGCACCACCTCCAAGACCCCCACGACCTCCATCACCCGCACCACCCACAAGACCCGCACACCGCTCGGTCGCTTCACAGCTGAGGGGTCGCTCGAGAGACCTTCACTGTGAGACACCGGGAGGGCCTGGGGCCTCGGTCCAGGCCTATGGCCCCAGTCCTAGGGCCCTGGTCTGGTCCTAGAGTCCTAGTCGTCTGGTCTTTTTGTCAGTGGCATCAAATTCTTTCGGTGAAAATGTTCCTTAAGTTCACACTGATTCACTATGGGGGAAATGTGACCGAACATATTTGATACAACTGACCCCTGGCCTGTGTGTGATAGCGAGAGAGCAGTGAGGCGTCTGGAAGATGAAATGCTTTAACGCACCGAGACCCCATGATCACTGCACTGTGTGCGATGCGTTAAACACTGTTGAACACATTCTATTTAATAATTATTGAAAGATGACTTTACAGTTATAATTATGTGTGCAGCAGCAACCCTACTCCAGCGATCTATTAAATTGTATGGCAGTCAAGTCACCATGTCATCAGCCGTCATCAATCCACCGCTGGATGAAGGCCTCCCCAACGTGTCCCCTCCTCTGTGCAGGAGCCGATATCATCGCTCCATCTCTGCGGCGGACGTACTCTCTCTCTCGGGTGCAATTGCTTCCTTTAGTCCGGTCACAGTGATGTAATTACAGTGCATCCTGAAAGTCAACCGGAAAGTATTTTGTTCTAATGGATGAAAAACCTAAAGGCTCGCGTTTGACAGCTGGGTTCACGCAGCCTTTGAGAGCCGCCCATTGCTTGGGCTTGCGATCTTCCTGTAGAGCAGGTTGGGCAATAAGTTACGGCAACGTTGGACGCAAGTGCAAGCCAAAGCCTTAGTTTTGCTCAAAGCAGAAGTCAACGAGTGTTTGACGAGACGCTCCCGACACAGCTCCCTGTCAACACAGCCACCTGCATACTGCTGTCACCCGCTCTCACCCGCTGCTGTTAGCCGCTGCTGTCTGTAAACTGTGATTGCTAGCGATTGCACAGAGATGTGTGTGCCTGTTGGAGACGTTGCTTGCTGTGGGAGACAACGCCGCATTTACACCGAACGCCACTACCACCGGGGTTTAGGCAACTGTGAGAGTATGGACTTGAAGGCACGAGGATACATTTCTGAACATGCCTTGAGAGGGAGTCTCATTCACGGATTTGGGCAGCTCAATAGCACGCCATAGATCTAGCACGGTGCAGAATTTGGGCAGCCCAGTAGCACACCCTTAGTTCTTACATGGTGCAAGGCTTTCGCGACCAATGTTATGATTTATAATCGATTCTTAGGGTCAGATTGCCACATGAGTAAAATGCCAATGTTTTGTGTTGCGTACCCTCGTCCACCCAGCGCAGCCATATAAAGCTATCACGTTAACAAATGCGCCAGTTGGCTATTGGCTGTGCGTGCCTGGACGCGGAAGTGCGATTTGAGCAATCGCCTGATGATGCTGGTTGTAACTCCCAGCGAAATGTGGAAGCTAATTGTTAAGTGTGCGCGGACCGCTTTTTCAGCATTACCGGTGTGCTGCAGAAAGAGTAACCTGGCGCATTTGTTCAGGTGACAACTTCATGTACTACACAGCATTGCCATTTTATCCCATGCGTTAATCTGACTGAACGAGTCAATGATGAATGCCTTAAGTTTTATTAGACTGTCTGGAGCAGAACACAGTTACCTGCTGCCCTTCCAAGGCCATTCAGGGGCGGCACCGCAGCATCCACCAGCTGAGAACCAGCGCTGTCAGGTGGCTCACGACACCAGACATTGATTTATAAACCTTGTGGCCATTCCAAACATCAGTTGCTTATTTCTGCAATGCGCCACGTGAAAGAAGAATATTAAATAGGTTTTGGTTTTAAAATAACTACCGTCTTTCTAAACATAACTTACTTAATTATATGACGACAATAATGCGTTTTATATATCCAAGACATTGTGATAAGCGGGCCCTGCTACATTGGCCAATTGTTTTATTCAAAATAGTTTTTTGACAAGTGTGAGAATTTGTTGACGAGTGTGAGAGGACAGAGAGAACCCGGACAAAAACCACCACGCATATGAATGACACTCAAGAGGTCTTCACAGATTAATTGCATCTCCAGATAATGTCCAAATCCAATCAACTGAACTCAACCGTAGACTCAACTCGTTTGCTGTACTGCCGCTGATCCACCCCGCAGCCCCACGCCACATTGTGGCCGTGGGCTGCTTTGTGAGCGATGGCTACGCAGCACCTGTCGTGGTGGTGGCGGTCTCGCACCCAAGGGCCAACCAGGCTCAACCCGTACTTGGGCTTCTGAGATCCGCCGAGATGTATGTGCTGTATGTATGTTGAACTTCTTTCACACCGTACGTAGCCAACCGTACTAATCGGAGGTGTGGGGGAAAGGACAACACACTAAACACACAACTGTTTTAAACAAATGAGTTTTCAATCAAGATTTAAAAGTGCATAGATCCCGTGGCTTCCTAATATCGGAAGAGCGTTCCAGACGGCCGCAGAAGCGTATCTCAAAGCACGATACAGTGACCGCCTTTGTTCTATGGCTAGCCACAAGCAGCTGCGAGGATGTCCGGAGTTCGCGTGATGGCTTATCTTCCTTGACGTTCCTTGGTATTGTGGTTCATTTGTGGCAAGCACTTTGTGTGCAGTGAGCGCGACCTTATAACGCATTCCTTCAGCAACCGGAAGCCAATGTAGCTCAGCGAGCACTGGACGGAGATCGGGCCCTTTCAGGGCGGGTTGGGTCGTGATTCCAAATCAGTAAATAAGAAACAAAAGACAGCCGGACAGGTGCCGATGGCTATTTTTATGAAATGCCAATCACAGCCTTCACGAGTAGGGCGGCTGTGTGGGGGTGGTGGGGGGGGCAATTTTAATTCCAAAGGGGTTTTAGTGCAGAGGCGCACAGACTCGAGCCACCTGCTGCTGTCCACGCCCCGTTTACTGCCTGCAACTGCCCCCCCCCCATCAGCTGACTCTCCGTCAAATAGTGGCCACCCGGGGACGATCAATCAACCATCTCCTCCCCGCGGGGGGACCACCCCGGAGAGTCCAAGAGGCCACCAGCAAGAGCGACAAACAGGCTGTGTTCTTCGCTAGCTCACAGTCCGCCTCTCTTAAAACACCTTCAGTTGACCTGTATATGCTTCTTTTCTTTAAAATTGAAATATTTATTGAAAATGACCTGGGGCTGTTGATGACACACACAACAGCTCGACAGCCCCCCCTCCGCATCGCTTTGTGAACCCAACAGCTCCAACGTCTTGACACGTTGTTAAAGTGGTTTTTGTTGTGACTGGCATCCGTCATTGCGTCTTGCATGTCCGCTTACAAATGTTTATAGCAGCAACGACAACGCTCGTTTAGCTTGTAGATCGTTTGCAGCGCCTTTGTTAATCTACTGCTGGGTAAAGGCTTCCGCAGGCTGTGTCGGTCACAGGGTGTGTGGCAGCAGCGTTACGTGACAAATAGGGGCCCAGTCAACCACAAGTGGGGCCCTGAATCAACAGCTAAACAAGAATATATTAAAAAGTCCAATAATTAACCATAAATGCTAAAAACATTGTTACAAAAGAAAACGTTTTTCAAAAATTACATAGCTGTAAAATATAGTAGCGCTACTGGTGTTAGTGAACAGCAGTAGCGCTACTGGTGTTAGTGAACAGCAGTAGCGCTACTGGTGTTACTGAACAGCAGTAGTGCTACTGGTGTTAGTGAACAGCAGTAGCGCTACTGGTGTTACTGAACAGCAGTAGCGCTACTGGTGTTAGTGAACAGCAGTAGCGCGACTGGTGTTACTGAACACCAGTAGCGCTACTGGTGTTACTGAACAGCAGTAGCGCTACTGGTGTTACTGAACAGCAGTAGCGCTACTGGTGTTACTGAACAGCAGTAGCGCTACTGGTGCTACTGAACACCAGTAGCGCTACTGGTGTTACTGAACACCAGGCTTTTTGCGCATGAAAGCAAGACGCATGATACATTAATTTTGAGTATTCTACCTTTAAATCTCTTTTATTAACACTGTCACTGCGAGACTTACTCTAAGCCCAATACACGGTGCAACTACAATCACATATAGTTATAGCGAGATGGTTACTACCTCGCGTGGTACACAGGAGGTCGTGGGTTCGATCCTGACCCTGACGCCTGCTGCTGTATATTTGGAGTTTGCGGTGTCACCGTGGTCGCGTGGATTGTTCTCCGGGTCCTCCGGGTTTTCCCTCCACATTTAGAATCATGCTATTCAACTATTTGGCTGCTATCCATTTACACACGATAAGCCAATTCGTTGAGCGATCATTTGGTCGCTTCTGAAAAAGATCTGCTACAGTCGCCCTTTTACTTGGTAAAATAAATAAAGGTTTAGTTAAACGAAAGTGTATAAAATGGGGTTAAAACCGTAGCTTTTTCAGTAAAAGTGAGTCGTGAAAGAGGAGGGGGGCCCACAATCCGATCTTGCAAAGCCCCCCGTTGAAACACTGTCGGCAGTTGCGCCCCCGGACGGTCACGAGGGGTTGTTTGTCCATACTTCACCACGCTGATCAGTTCGGGTGAGTGAAGGCTGGGAGAGGAGGGGGGATTGAGGGTCAGGACCGGTTCAGATTTCACTCACCGAGTGAGGTAAGCCCTGGCCCGCGAGTCAAACTCGGCGAGCCAAAGTCCACGGTGCAGTGTTTGAAACACTCACCACCACCATTCGATAATGATAACAATACGATGACAATACGAGACTTAATGTCGCCGGGTGAAACCCCTTTTTGGGAAGGGTGGCTTCTGTCAGGATATTTCAAACCTAAACCAAACAGAACTAAGGGGGGAAGCGTGCGATCATACTCCACCATTGATCGTGCAGGTTGTCCAAGCACGCGGCCAACACAGAGAACTGCAGTGGACCACTTGACTCGCCAAACAAACCCTTACACTCTCAGACAGGGGGGGGGGGAGGTGGGGCGGTGGCGCTGCGGTTAGCGCACTGCGCTATTAATCGATTCCCGGGCCACGGGCTACCATCGGGGTGGTTCGCGACACCACGAACGATCCTGGGCCACTGCCCTTCCACCAACCCGCACTGACACGCGTGGTGAAGTATGGTCAAAAGAACGCCCGTGGCCGACAGAGCAATCGCTGCTTGAGTGTTTGTGCCTGTGGGAGGAAACGCGAATTCACCATTGACGGCATCGGGAGCCAAGCAGGGTTGCCCCTGGCCAATGCTTATATGGGCGGCCACCATGCATAACAGGTGTTACAGGCTGCGAGGCTACTTTGTGGGCAACAGAAGGGCACGTGTGGAGAAGTCCATTGCGCTGCTATGCCCCCAAGATGTGCGCATGCCACATTCGTTAACACGCACTGAACCAGCGTGGTGAAGTATGGTCACGCTACCCCCACGGTGCACGCTGCGTGTGGAGGCCCTTCATCCAGCAGTGGAACAGCAAAGGGATGCACAGGGGTTGTCTTCGTGACGAGAGGCGCCTTGGCAGCACACGCGCTCCCACGCCATTCATCAATCACACACTCTCAACTCCTTGACTCACCCTCAACTCACCACCTACATCACTCACGTTCTCACTCCCTCACTCACACTCGTCCTCACCCTCACTCACCTCCTCAATCACCTTCACCCCCAGTCACACTCACCCTAACCCTCACTCACCCCCCTATTCTTACACTCACCCTAACCCCGCACTCACTCACCTTCACTAACCCCCACACTAATCCTCACTCACCCCCTCACTCACCCCCACATTCACCTCCTCACTCACCCCCACATTCACCCCCACATTCACCTCCTCAATTACCCCACCTCCACCGGCAAACATTCTCAAACTCACCCCCTCACTCACCACCATACTAAACCTCACACTAAACTCACACTCACCCCCTCACTCACACTCACCCCCTCACTCACCCCCTCACCCCCACATTCACCTCCTCAATCACCCCACCGGCAAAGATCCTCAAACTCCCCCCCTCACTCACCCCCATACTCACCCTCACACTAAACTCACACTCACCCCCTCACTCACCCCCACTCATCCACACCATAGCCCTCACACGCACTTACCCCCATACTCACCCTCACACTCACTCACCCCCATACTCACCCTCACACTAAACTCACACTCACCCCCTCACTCACCCTAACCCTCACTCTCAACACTAAACTCACTCACCCCCTCACTCACCCTAACCCTCACACTCACTCAATCTCAACACTAAACTCACTCACCCCCTCACTCACCCTAACCCTCACAATCACTCACTCTCAACACTAAACTCACTCACCCTAACCCTCACAATCACTCACTCTCTACATTAAACTCACCCCCTCACTCACACTCACTCACCCTAACCCTCACAATCACTCACTCTCAACACTAAACTCACGCCCTCACTTACCCTAACCCTCACAATCACTCACTCTCTACACTAGACTCACCCCTCACTCACTCACCCTAACCCTCACTCTCTACATTAAACTCACCCCTCACTCATTCACCCTAACCCTCACTCACTCTCTACACTAAACTCACCCCTCACTCACTCACTCACCCTAACCCTCACTCACTCTCTACACTAAACTCACCCCTCACTCACTCACCCTAACCCTCACTCTCTACACTAAACTCACCCCTCACTCACTCACCCTCACTCACTCTCTACACTAAACTCACCCCTCACTCACTCACCCTAACCCTCACTCACTCTCTACACTAAACTCACCCCTCACTCACTCACCCTCACTCACTCACTCTCTACACTAAACTCACCCCTCACTCACTCACCCTAACCCTCACTCTCTACACTAAACTCACCCCTCACTCACTCACCCTAACCCTCACTCACTCTCTACACTATACTCACCCTTTACTCACTCACCCTAACCCTCACTCACTCTCTACACTAAACTCACCCCTCACTCACTCACCCTAACCCTCACTCACTCTCTACACTATACTCACCCCTCACTCACTCACCCTCACTCAGTCTCTACACTAAACTCACCCTCACTCACTCACTCACCCTAACCCTCACTCACTCTCTACACTAAACTCACCCTCACTCACTCACCCTAACCCTCACTCACTCTCTACACTAAACTCACCCCTCACTCACTCACCCTAACCCTCACTCTCTACACTAAACTCACCCCTCACTCACTCACCCTCACTCACTCTCTACACTAAACTCACCCCTCACTCACTCACCCTAACCCTCACTCTCTACACTAAACTCACCCCTCACTCACCCTAACCCTCACTCACTCTCTACACTAAACTCACCCCTCACTCACTCACTCACCCTAACCCTCACTCACTCTCTACACTAAACTCACCCCTCACTCACCCTAACCCTCACTCACTCTCTACACTAAACTCACCCTCACTCACCCCCACGCCGTGGTCCGCTGTCACGCACCAGTCGCCTTACAAAACCTCTCCCTCGAGAGGGCGTAGTTGGGTCAGTACGAGTTAGAATGGCGCCACATTAGGGACAGTAAACGATTAATAACACATTTTAAATCACGATGGGAAAAAAGCCCACGCGAAAATCGTCGCAGGAATGAGCGTCCGTTTGAGACTTGAAGGGCGGTTGTGAGTTGGGCACGTCAGCAAGCGTGATTATTGTGAACTTATCGCGTTCACTTTTACAGATGTACACGGACAAACCCGGCGGGGAAGACTCTGCGGGACTTGTATTTTAAAAAGTGTCAATTATTGCACGTAAAACACGTTCGAGGCAACAGGCCGCAGCCGCTGAAAATGATCCTCCCGCACTACACGGGAGACGTGGCGCTGCCTTGTGGTTATTATTGAACAGTATTGGTTTGGGGGAAAATACAAATATGTTGAATACTGAAACTAAAGCAACAAAACGATGATTGGAGTGTTAAACAGTGGGCCCCACACAAGTCCCAATGCCGCAGGGCGTTACTACGAAGTCTCCGGTCCTTAGAGTTCTACAAACAACAACAACAGTCTAAACCCTTTATTTGACTCGTCTTGAGGAGGTTGTGTGTGCGCGTCTTGGTGAGTTTTATTCTCTACAGAACGGGGAGACATTACATAAACGAATAATATTTAAAATATATACGTAAAAAAAATATTACAGAAGCAAAAGAGTTAGTTATTGTTCCACGCGGATTTCGTGCTGTATGCAGAACTCCTCCGGTTATTATTGGGGGACCCTCTCATCCGCGGGGTCATCCGCGGTGTTTGCCGCCGTGGCCGTCGTTAAACTTCGCAGACAACCCCCGCGGATTATCGGATGGATTTGCGACACGCCGGGACTCCTCTAGTCCGCGGAAAACCGCCAGTATTTGGAAGCCGATTCGCAGCGCATAATCGGTGCGCGCGCGCGGATAATAGGAAGAAAAATAGGAGCCGCGGATAATATAAGTGGTGAGTAAAAAGGTCGCGGATAAGTGGGAGTCCTGTACGCGTATATATTGTGTGGCAGTGCTGGGGAGCGTACGGCGGCCCGTGGGCTATATTCTCTGGACCTGCGGCTTCATTTCATACGGCCCGCGGCCACTAACGATGTACAAACGATGTTAATGCCGTCACTACAACAGAGCTGTCAACCCCTCATCGGTGCCTACCTTGTTACATACAGACCTATTCAGGCCGTATTGGTCACCCCGTGCCCTTATAAACCTCAACGTTCATACGACAAAGTCCCATCACAAGGGAGAATAACAGACACAAAATAAATGTGCCCGTATTGCAACGGCTGTACACCGTGTGGACCTGAAAACTCAATTTCCTTCTTCAAGAAGACGGGTAACCTTATGGGTTGTATGCTGCAAGCACCCTGACCACACTATTCGGGTACCAGAGGGGACATTTTAGACCTGGCAACAACAACAATGTGTTTATATTTTTGGCACTGTACTCAAGTCACTTTTGCCCCTGTGTAAGGGCCCTTTGCGGTGACCCAAGTGTCTTGGGCCCGTGTGTGGCAATTCTGGCGTTACACTTGGCCTGGTTTTCCCGGGACATTTGTTAGCACCTTGAGTCCCCGGTATTAGCACAGTGGCGTAGTAATCCCCACCGCTCAACGCGATGCATTCACACACGCTGTTGCCACCTCTGCCGGCATTGCAAGATATTCCTCTTGTTCCTTGCGGTGTCACCGGTCTTCCTAGCTATATTACGTTAAAGGTCTGAAGTAGGGTATGTTGAGGTCTCCTCTCATGATGCTGTGGCTTGCAACGTTTGGTCGTACATGTCACGTATATCGTTTATTGTTAAATTGGAAATCACAGTTCCTATGATCACTGTTACATTATTTTTAGAGCTTTATTTTGGTGATTTCGAAAAGGTTCTGGTTTAGCCATTTTGTTTGTTGTAGTACACAGAGTTAGACTGGTAACTGTAATCTAAATTGTCTTATGGTTGTTATTGTTTGACTTGCATCCCACTGGGATTTTTGCACACAACGTTGATACGTGGTGCGTTTTCTGGAAGACTTTGCTGTTTTTATCCTGGATTTTTGTGTTGTGCGTAGTCACTTTAAGACGTTTCTTGTTCATGTTTTTGTTTGTTGCGGTTGCACCCGATTCAAGAGCCGAATGGCTCACAGGGCTATACCAAATAAATGAACTGAGCTGAACTGAACCGGTATTGTTGTTGTTGCACCTCGGAGGTGGCAACCCCAGGTCATGCTCGCTGCCAAAGGGACCTGAAAGTACATGTCGGCCCCTCGGCGAGGAGAAGCTTCCTGCCCGCCGCTGCACCGTGGGTGCGCGCGTGAAGTGATGATACAATGCGTGATGCACGTTACCGACACGCCACGCCACGGATCAAAACGCCGTCGCACATGGCGACGGCCACGAACGACCATGCACAAATCACATTGGAAAGTATTACGATATTCTTCAAAGCATTGCTATGGCTTATTGTGAGTACGTTGTCTTAATATATAGAATACAACATTCTATATACACAGTACAGAGTGTTTGCCATCTATATTTCCCAATATATAACAGATTTGCCATTTTTACACAACCTGGTCCTCGTCTATGGGCGGCACGGTACATGCGGGCTCACGTCAGGTTTACGCTCAGCGAACACAGTTTTTAACAACACCTGTGTATGTGTGTCTCTGTGTGTGTTTTATCTATTAGAATGCAATCTTACCTGGTGGCGCTTAACGTTTATCCTTCTCAATCTTGGAAATAAATTATCAAAACGTCTGCTCCGTGTGCGGTGATTTTTTTTATCGAGTTTAAATTGAGCCTGTGACCAAATAAATCTGGAACACACGAGATATCGCCAGATCTTGGAAGCTAAGTAGGATTTTGAGCCTGGTTAGTGCTTGGATGGGCGATCACTGTGGACAAACAGGCATCAGAGGTTGAGTGGTGAGCACCTCTGATTAGCACGGTTAGCTACATATGGTGCGAAAGAAGTTCAACATATATAGCAGAGGGAAGTGTACCAAAATCTACGATTGTACTGTACTTCTTTGCTTCCACCACTCTGCTGTCGATCTTCACCAACAAGCTATGACCAACGTACGGTACGCTAAAATAGCCCGTACCACCTGCACGGCGTGGGCAGGCCCTCATCCAGCAGTGGAGTGACAATGGGGTGGACACGTGTTTATTTTTCAAATTTCCACCCCGTGGCCACAATGACATTTCGACCTTGAGATTGGCTTTTCTACTCCTTTAAAACTACTTTTATTCTACCAGGTAAGGCCCGTTAAGCTATATAACCCTTTATCAGAAGTGACCTTGCCAAAAATGATAGCCTAATGAAGTGGCTTATCATGTGGAAATTTATAGTAGCCAAATACTCTAAACGGATGTGGAGGGAAAAACCGGTGGACCCAGAGAAAAGTCCACCACGGGGGAATCGATTACAACGGCGAGATCGGAGAGTAGGCCCATGAAGGGCTCGCTGCCACCGCAGCCACTGCTAGTGCAGTGCCAGACACAACTTCTGGATCTCACTTTCAGATAAAAGCTCATGTAAAAACACTTGGTACTAGTTCTGCCTGTCCCATATGTGCAATGGGAGAGGGTGGGTACAATAATTCTCATAGACTGGTGCTGCGTACACCTTGTGCCGCACAGGGACAGCTACCATTGGGGTTGCCCAAAGCCAGACTGCAGCAGAGCATTGGTAAATGGTTGAGACGAGATGTGAAACAAAGCACTTAAAGGCACTTAAACACCCTGTAAACGTAAACCCTTATTCCTCACTGGCACACCAATGACCATGTGCAGGCTGGTGCCGCCTGCACACATTGCACCGCGCAGGGACAGCTGCCACTCGGGTCCCCCAGGCTAAACCGCAGCAGGGCATTTGAATGATTGAGATGAGAAGTGAGCTGCCGAGAACGTTTAAACGAGCGCCATTACACCGCGAAAATCTAAGTGGCAGGTGCTGCCTCCCGGTAGCAGTAAGCGCCGAAGCGGCCCTGCAGCTTGGAGGGGAAGCCCAGGGTGCGCACGCCGGGCTCCCCGCCGCCGCAGTTGTCGCGCGGGCTCACGATGGGGTAGCGCACGCTGCCATCAGCGAGCCAGCCGGCGTCGCAGCGGTCCAGGTCGTGGTGGTGCCACGCCGAGTAGAGCTGCCCCACCGTGGCCAGGGAAGCGCCGGCGGCGGCGCAGGCGAGCACCGCCGCGGGGAACGGAAGCGTGCCGGCCCGCTCTAGGTAGTAGACCTCGCCTGAAGGGGGAGGGGGGGGGGGAAGGGAGGTCACGCTGGGGTCAAACTAAAACTTTTTATTTTACCAGGGAAGGCCTCACTCAGTTATATAGCTCTTTTTCAGAAGCGACCTGGCTATCACAAATGATAGTCCAGTGGCTTATCATCATGTGAACATTTATAGCAGCTAAATATTCTGAATTCACGTTGATTCTAAATGTGGAAGGAAAAACTGGAAGACCTAGAGAAAAATCCACGAGACCACGGGGAAAGAGACACGCAAACTCCAAATATACAGCAGGCGTCAGGATCGGGATCGAACCCACGACCTCCTGTATACCAGGCGAGGTAGTTAAAATCTCGCCATCAGTGACGGGGGATTGGAGGAATCGGAGGCTCTCAGGGACCACAGGACCAGGAGGTCGATTTGCAAAGGGATGGAGTGGTCGGTGGATCGAATGGATCTAAGGATATTTGAGAGTGGGAATGAAGGGAAAGGTGGATCGATTAATTTAAGGATTTGGAAATCAGATTATGGAAGAATATGGGAATTGAAGGATCCAGGGATTTAGGGATTCGGAGCATACAACCGTGAGCTCAAGGTAGAGGACGTCACCTGTGTGGGGGAGGGAGGAGATGACGGGGTTAGCGACTGGGATCAAGAGATTGAGGGATTGGAGGATAAGAGGATCTGGGAATCAGGGGACAAATGGATCAGTTGATGGAGGGATTCAAGAATAGTGGGATTGGGATATCTTATCGTCACAATTTATATATTGCCTTAACCAAGGTGCATTACAGTGAATTAAGAACGGTACAACATATGAATGTAATGGTGGAGATGAGGTGAATGAAATTGAGGAAGCAATGGGGGCAAATATGTGATGGGTGAATTCGGTGAAAGCAAAATTGATGACAGTAAATGACGATGAATGGATTGACTGAATGAATGGAGTGAATGAGTGATAGCCATGTAATGAGAATATGAAGAGGGAACAGGAACGGTAATGGTTATGGGGGGGAGACAAAGGGGGGTCGTGGGGTGAGCTCGGGAGCATACAACTGCTAGCTCCGGGTAGGGGCTCGCATTAGCATAATTAGAACGGTTGGCTATGTACGGCGCGAAAGAAGTTCAGCGTACAGTGAGGGAAAGAAGCATTTGATTCCCTGCTGATTTTGTACTTTGCCCACTGAAAAAGAAATGATCAGTCTATAATTTTAATGGTAGGTTTATTTGAACAGTGAGAGACAGAATAACAACAACAAAATCCAGAAAAACGCATGTCAAAAATGTTATAAATTGATTTGCATTTTAATGAGGGAAATAAGTATTTGACCCCTCTGCAAAACATGACTTAGTACTTGGTTGCAAAATCCTTGTTGGCAATCACAGAGGTCAGACGTTTCTTGTAGTTGGCCACCAGGTTTGCACACATCTCAGGAGGAATTTTGTCCCACTCCTCTTTGCAGATCTTCTCCAAGTCATTAAGGTTTCGAGGCTGGCGTTTGGCAACTCGAACCTTCAGCTCCATCCACAGATTTTTTTATGGGATTAAGGTCTGGAAACTGGCTAGGCTACTCCAGGACCTTCATGTGCTTCTTCTTGAGCCATTCCTTTGTTGCCTTGGCCGTGTTTTTGGTCATTGTCATGCTGGAATACCCATCCACGACCCATTTTCAATGCCCTGGCTGAGGGAAGGAGGTTCTCACCCAAGATTTGACGGTACATGGCCCCGTCCATCGTCCCTTTGATGCAGTGAAGTTGTCTTGTCCCCTTAGCAGAAATACACCCCCAAAGCATAATGTTTCCACCTCCATGTTTGACGGTGGGGATGGTGTTCTTGGGGTCAAAGGCAGCATTCCTCCTCCTCCAAACACGGCGAGTTGAGTTGATGCCAAAGAGCTCCATTTTGGTCTCATCTGACCACAACACTTTCACCCAGTTGTCCTCTGAATCATTCAGATGTTCATTGGCAAACTTCAAACGGGCATGTATATGTGCTTTCTTGAGCAGGGGGACCTTGCAGGCGCTGCAGGAATTCAGTCCTTCACGGCGTAGTGTGTTACCAATTGTTTTCTTGGTGACTATGGTCCCAGCTGCCTTTAGATCATTGACAAGATCCTCCCGTGTAGTTCTGGGCTGATTCCTCACCGTTCTCATGATCATTGCAACTCCACGAGGTGAGATCTTGCATGGAGCCCCAGGCCGAGGGAGATTGACAATAATAAAATTCTCACGACGTTTCGTCGTAATATTTTTTTATTGTTTTATTTTATTATTTTATTCTCATTCTACGTGACTTTACCGAAAGAACTAAAGAAGATGAATCCTTGCAGTCACGAAAGCTTTAAATCGAAAAGATTGAGAGTCCTTTTGTGTTTCTTCCATTTGCGAATAATCGCAGCAACTCTTGTCACCTTCTCACCAAGCTGCTTGGCAATGGTCTTGTAGCCCATTCCAGCCTTGTGTAGGTCTACAATCTTGTCCCTGACATCCTTGGAGAGCTCTTTGGTCTTGGCCATGAGAGTTTGGAATCTGATTGATTGATTGCTTCTGTGGACAGGTGTCTTTTATACAGGTAACAAGCTGAGATTAGGAGCACTCTCTTTAAGTGTGCTCCTAATCTCAGCTCGTTACCTGTATAAAAGACACCTGGGAGCCAGAAATCTTTCTTATTGAGAGGGGGTCAAATACTTATTTCCCTCATTAAAATGCAAATCAATTTATAACATTTTTGACATGCGTTTTTCTGGATGTTTTTGTTGTTATGCTGTCTCTCACTGTTCAAATAAACCTACCATTAAAATTATACACTGATCATTTCTTTGTCAGTGGGCAAACGTACAAAATCAGCAGGGGATCAAATACTTTTTTCCCTCACTGTACATAGGGGACCTCACCTGTGTGGGGGAGGGAGGTGACAATGGAGTCTGCGACATGGATTCGAGGGATGCCCTGAGACTCGATGGTGCTACCGTGGCTGCGGTGGAGATCGTTGCTGTTGTTGTCCATGTTGTTGTGGGTGCTGGGCCGTGGTCGTTTGGTACCTGGGCTGTGCCACGATGTCTTTCGCTCTCCCCTCCCTCCCGTGTTTCCCTGCCCTGCCTCCTCCCCCACCGTCGTCTACCCTCATGTCGTGTCCATTGCATGTCCGTGAAGCGTCTCGAGATGCGATTGCATTTTGACATTATTACACGTTAAATTATTGTTGTTGTAGTCGTTGTAAGCACTGTACCTTGTTTGCTTGTATTCCATCTGCAGTTTACAATAGTAACCATCCTGATTAGGTTCACCTTGCAAAAATAAATATCCCACGTAGGCTCAATTTCATAACTGACAAAATTAACTCTCTCTGGCGTTCTCACTGCAGAGCTATGAGTTTTCAAATGTAAGGAAATGGGTTTCAGATACCCGGACAAGGGCCAGCGCGGCGTTGCCAGGAGGCAGAGCACAAAGGTGGTGTGGCCCAAGCGGGTCACGCGTTCGCCACCTTTGTTGCAGGGTTTTACGGTCGAAATTTGCTAAATTCCCAATATTACACCGCGTATTACTCAGATTTTGGATCTTACACACACAGCAGGAAGATCAGATACAGCCACCGCATCCTTCCCCGCACCTCCTTCAATTAGCACGGTTGGCTAGGTACTGTGCGAAAGAAGTTCAAGGTACATAAATACATACATCGTCCCCTACTACGAAACGATTGCACACCGTGTCTGCGATCTTCCTCCGCGAAGATCGCCCTGCGCCATAGGAACGGCGCGAATAGCGGACGTGCCAAATTTATTATTCTCAAAACCCTGACCGTCCACCGTCCACCACCGAGCCGCCGCACCTTTGATGGCAGCCGCGAAGCAGAAGGCGTCGAAGCGTTGGGGCGTGCGGTGCCGGAAGCCGTAGCTGCGCAGGCCGGCCGGCGTCGCCTTCCCTCCGCAGGGCTCGCGGGGCACGGTGACGGGGTACTGCACCGAGCCGTCGGCCAGCCAGCCCGCGTTGCACCAGTCGAGGCCGGCCTCCCAGCCCTGCAGCAGCTCCCCCAGCGTGGCCAGCGTGGCGCCCTGCTCCGCGCAGGCCGCCTGCGCCTCAGCAAACGACAGCTTATAGCGGCCGTGCTGCGCCTGGTACGGGAACACCACGCCTGCGATGGCAAAGGAGCGGAGGGGCATGGGCGGAGGGTCAGAAAGGTTCAGGATTTTTGTTTTAATTGGTATTACATGGCTATAATCTAGATCAGCGGTCTGCAACCTGCGGCTCCGGATCCGCGTGCGGCTCTTTCAGGACTGCTTCGTGATGTTATTTATGAAGGAACCACAGTCCCGTATGTTCACTTTGCACTGAGGCTCTTTAAATATCGAGTGTTTTTACCGAATTCGAAAAAAATCCCTCATATTTTGGTTGCTGACCGCTGATCTAAATTGAAAACTCAATTGAGATCAGAGTTGTCCTTCCCCCGTACCTCCAAATAGCACTTTTGGCTACGTACGGTACCTGAGCAAAGGCCTAAAAGATCAAGCGACCACCGACAACCAGCACTGATAGATAATGTTGCAATGGATAAGACTTTTTTATTATGGTTAATGTTATGAGAGCTTGGGAATAGAGACGATCGGAGGGATATCGAGAGTGGAGCTGTGCGAGGGAAGAAGCAGAGAGAGAAGAACTTGGTTGGTGGCTGGAGGGAGAGCGTGGGTTGAGTGGGTGGGTGGGTTGATTTGGTGAGTGGGTGGGTTTGATTTGGTGAGTGGGTGGGTTGATTTGGTGAGTGGGTGGGTTGATTTGGCGAGTGGGTGGGTTGATTTGGTGAGTGGGTGGGTTGATTTGGTGAGTGGGTGGGTTGATTTGGTGAGTGGGTGGGTTGATTTGGTGAGTGGCTGGGTTGAGTGAGTGGGTTGAGTGGGTGGGTGGATTGAGTTATTGGGTGGTTTGAGTTGGTGGGTGGGTGGAGTGAGCGAATCATTAAGTTCATTGTGTGGCCACCTGTGGAGAGACGATACAAAGTACAGTGTTCCCTTGTTGCTCGTGAGAGGTACCAAATAAATTACCGCAATTAAATACATAAATAAGCTATTAAATAGATGCTAATTATCATAACACAAAAATGTGGTTATAATACACATTAAATACATCTTATGTTAAATAATCGTTTAGAAATTAACTTACCTTAAATTTTGATGATGCTGTGCAGAAGAATGCAGTAACGATGCTGACAATGATGATGGTGACGACGATGATGGTGATGCTGACAATGATGATGGTGACGATGATGAAGATGCCGACAATGATGATGACGACAACGATGATCGTCGTGATGTCATTACTGCTCCGACATAGACGCAGCAGCGTTCCAGATGCGATTCGCGGACAGCCAACATCGCGGATAGCAAATTCTCGAACAGTGAAGGAATGCCGTATTAGTGTAGTGCAATGAAGCTGACGTGGATTTTTTTTTTTACTGTGCCTGCCTTGGGCTGTTTTCTCAGTAAATAAGCAACGTTGGCCCAGCGTTTCGTGTTCGCTGTTTCTACTATTGGCGTCGGGTCACCATGTTGAATGCCGTATAAACATACGCTTGTTACAAGTTGCGTATGTAAGCACGTGTGGACGCATCCCTGCACGTGTTCCCGTGTGTGTTGCCGTGTGTCGCATGACACCACGGCGCCTTGCAATGAGTCAGTCGTTCCATCCCGAGGGGAACTTTTTTTTTTGACGAACAATCAAATATTTGATTTTACGCATGTGGCTCGTGACTTTTCTCTCTGGACGTCCGGCAGTTGCCATGCCAACAGTGAGTGCACGAGACCAAGGGAGGGCCAGCGATTTGCTGAGCTTGTTTGGAATTCGCAGCCTCCGCACGCGTCCCGTGCCCCTGTGCTGTGCATGCGGCAGCGAGGTATTGGTGGGTCGCACGCAGCTCATCTCGAGACTGTAGTGCCAGCCCTAAAGGGGGCGTCGAGGAAGAGCCGTGCCCCGGCTCACGAGCAGAAGGCTGTACAGCAAGAGTGTGGACTAATACTGTCCGTCCCTTCTACTTGGGATAACGTGTTGCCTCCCTCACACGCGTGGGTTTTGTCACAGCCCCTTTGGTATCATTCCGCGCTTGCTGATTGGTTAATGTTTGTAATCCCTTCCACGAAAACACACTGTGAACAGAAAACAAATATGCGATTCTGCAAGAGAGGCTGTTCCCACTGCCAAAAGAGAAGACGCGATGTAAGCAAGGTCTCATCGCTCACGAATGGGCGTCGCTGATTGGCTGAGCGTGCGGCTCAGCCCCACCTGCGAACGCTCGGATTGGTCGAAATTGGCGCGCCACGTGCATAACGTGAACACGGAATCGTGAGTCAACATGTTAACATTCAGTCGGAACCGTGAGTCAACATGTTAACGTTCAGGCGGAATCGTGGGTCAACATGTTAACGTTCATGCGGAATCGTGAGTCAACATGTTAACATTCAGTCGGAACCACGGGTCAACATGTTAACGTTCAGTCAGAGCCGTGAGTCAATATGTTAACGTTCAGTCGGAACCGCGAGTCAACATGTTAACGTTCAGGCGGAATCGCGAGTCAACATGTTAACGTTCAGCCGGAATCGTGAGTCAACATGTTAACGTTAACACGGAATCGTGAGTCAACATTTTAATGTTCAGTCAGAACCGCGGGTCAACATGTTAACGTTCAGTCGGAACCGCGGGTCAACATGTTAACGTTCAGTCGGAATCGTGGGGTCCTTTGGGAGGCTAAACGTTAACCGATAAACCGTTAACCGATGACGATTTTAACCGAGGCACTCCTGTATACTATATAGATATAGAACCACAGAGCTTGGATATTTGTTTCTAGCGCCGGCTCACCTTCTGGCTGATACTGTTGCCTTCCGGCATCGTGTGCGATTCATTGGCAATCGGGAGAGATGTGGTTTGGCATGAACGACGACGACAATAATACGACAAGAAAAAAAAACTAAATAATGCTCCAGTGCCTGGCAACCACCAACATTGACGCACTGGGACAAAAAAAAATTCAAATCGGGCCCAGGCATTTGTAAACACACCAACCACACTTTCAGGATATGGCCAATAATTATTTTGAAATGGGTTGTTGTGCCATGACAAACTGCAGTTACTAGTAGCGAGATTTGCCGCGTGCCGACGTATTGGCGTGATTTTCCCACACGATCTCATTGGGTCCATTAGGGGCAGGGTCCAAAAAAACGAATGGGGAGCCGGTGAGGAAGAATCTTTGGGGCTGCCGAATATATGGATGGGACTTAATGCAAACTGAGAGCGTAAATAAAGCAATGAAGCGTACACATGAAAGGTAATCAAATATTTTTGTAAAATACAACTTTTTTACTCTGTTCACATGTGTAGTGGTGCTGGCCCTAGAGAGGCACGGCATGCGATGTACTCACATCGCAGACATCACGTATGTAGCGACATCGTGAATGTCACTGTGTAATGCCGGCTCTAGCGAGGCACGGCGTGCGATGCATTGACATCGTGGACACCCCGTAGGTGGGTGTAGTACCAGCCCTAAAGGGGGCTCGGTGAGCGCTGGGCTAGCGCAGTGGCACCACGCGTGGCGTGCAGTGCTGACTCCTACAGGAGGGAGTGTGAGAGTGTCAGTCATGGGATGAGGTTACCCTAGGCCAAGGTTGACCCTGGAAAGGCACGTGACCAGTAAGATCTACACAGAGGCCCCAGGTGGGGGCTTGGGGGTGGTCACGTGTCAGGGTGAGATCCTACGGGAAGGGTCGAGAAACGTCAAGAAGTTTCTTGAAGGTGGTCGTGGTCAGGGGGGGGGGGGGGCAGCCACGACCTGGGAGCATATAAACCGGGTCCCCACAGGGACCGGGGTTCAGCGTTGCTGTTGTCATAGATCTACGATCTACGTTCTACGTCCAAGAAGAAGTCACCAACACGTGGACGAGGACCCAAGCCAGGGACCTGTCGGTGTAGCTACTCCCAGTAACTAGCGTAGTTAGTCTGGTGGTCCACCACCACAGGTTATCTGGAAAAGGGGCAGTAACCCCTTTGTGTAATGTGTTGGTGTTAATAAATATGTGTTGCCTCCAAGAAGTACGTCTGCGACTCAGTTGAATCCACTGCACATGTAATAATTTCCCCAGAAAGAACTGGCTCTTGGAATGGGCAGGCCCCAACCAGGCATTTACCACAAAGACTACTGCCCTATGACCAATACTGCACATAGACTGACACTGCCTATTGACTGAAAACTGTACCTTCGATTTAGCACGGTTGGCAAGATACGGCGCGAAAGAAGTTCAACAGAATATACACGGGCTTGCCCACCACCACCATCCACTCACCGTCCAGCTCGAGCTCCACCTCCCCCCTGTCGTCCTCCAGGCCGTCCACCACCTCGCAGCGGTAGCGGCCGCGGTCCGCCAGGCGCACATCGGCCAGCAGCAGCGACGCGTCGTGGTGGTCGGCCCGCGGGAGGCTGGCTCGGCCTCGGTAGGGGCCGAACGCGCGGTGCAGGCCGCCCATGGCCGCAACGACATCCGTCTCGGCCTCTACGGCACTGGCGGCGCCGGCGCTCCCTCCTCCGCCCAGCTCGGGGAGCCGGGTCCACTTGACTCGCACCGCCCGTGCCGAGCCCCCCGACTCGGCCGGGTAGAAGCGGCAGGGCAGCGTGGCGTTGCCGCCGCGAAGCGACAGCACCACCTTAGCCGCCACCTCCACGGACAGGTGGGCGCCAGCGGGGACCACTGAGGAGGGGTCGAGGGAGAGGAGAAGGAGGAGGTGCAGCACGCGTGGCCCAGGGCGCGGTGCGGTGCCCGTGGGGAGGAGCGGTGGCGTAGCGGTTAGCGCTACGCTGTGCTACGAACCCGGCGACCCGAGTTCGATTCCCGCTCACGACCGCCAACGGCGGTGGCGATCATCTGAACCGGTTCCGGGCCTCCACTAGATTGACTCGGCTTCAAATCAGTACCTGGTGCTGTGTGCAAAAACATTGCCGCTGGGGAGACAAAGGCGGCCGGGCGCCTGGTGTTGGCCTTCGTAGGTGCTAGCTAACAGCACTTGCCACAACAGTCTGTTTAGGCTATACGGGGGATCTTTGCGTTTATGTTTTTTGTGCAATGCCCCCCCCCCCCGCCCTGTCCAAATTGCTACCCCCCCCCTCTTTTCGTAACAACAGTGGTTCTGAGAAATATACTTACGAATAATGAACATCAAAATTTTAATCAATTGCTCATTTTGTGAGGTAAACCTAACTAGCTAAGTAACTGCAAGGGACTAACGAATTTCCACGGACGCTCTCCACACGTGACGTGATTTGTTCTCGCTCGCTAGTTACGAGTTTAGAAAGGTATTTTTACATCGTTATACGTTACCACATGGATTTAAACTTTGTTTCGTGGGTATTATATATTAGCAGATACAACGTGATTATTCACCAATGATTGATACGTTCATAAATCACCTCACGTAACCCCCCTGGGACATTGCCACGTACCCCCCAGGGGTCCACATACCCCCCGCTTGAGAACCACTGCCCTACACGAAGCTTAAAACCCACACAGGTTTGACCGCTGTTGGCCAAACCAGGTCCCAATGCTGACCAATCACAAATCACTCAGTGGGGATCACAGCAGCAGCAGAAGCAGAAGTAATCATCTCCCACCTCCCCTCCTCGACTGCAAAAACTTGGCCAGGACCCTCCTTACAAAGAGTCTTGAGACCCAGTGAGGCTTCCCTGGGGTGTGCCCGCGGAGCAATGTGAAATAACGAACACAGGTTAAAAGAACAGCCCGGCGATCGATGGCTCGCTGATGTCATCGCTTCGTCTCCGCGGTTCCATATCCTCTCGGTGGCCAACCACTCGAGCTCGTGTGAACGTGCCAATGATCGTCCTGACTCCACCCGGTACAATCGCAGCCCAGCTCACATGACTGTGCCGAGTTCACGATGTTGCCCGCCCACCAACACCAACAACAGCCACGAAGTGGCGGTGACGTCACCACGGTGCCTGTGCCAGGCCAGGTGCACTTTGAGGCCACGTGAATTGCCGAAGGGTCGCTGATAGGAGGTCACGGGACAGACCCAGGTCCTATGGGTTGACTGAGATGCTGTGTTTTAGTCGCCCGGCGCTCTGCTCGTTGTTGTTGGAGGGCAATTGCCTCCAACTGCCCAGTATCGTCCTTCACGAGCCTCCTCCATAGAGGCCGATGTTGACACCGCTGGTACCAGTCTTTGGCAAGTCCACTCAGTTCCACATCCTCCCGTACTACATCAGTCAATTTCTTCTCGAGCCCGTATCGTGGCCGTTTAAAACCCTCTATCCGGCCAAACAGCTGCTTGTGCATGCAGTGGCTAGGCATGCGGGCTACATGACCCAGCCAACGCAGTCTTGCCTGCCAGAGGAGCTCATTGATGGGAATGTGTCCATATATTTCAAGGATCTGTGAGCTCCTCACACATTCCAGCTTAGTTACACCCGGGATGGATCGTAGGCAGGCCAGCCTGAATGTTTCAAACCGATGCACCAACCATCGCCACCATCACCGGAGTTACCGCCCCCCCCCGCCGCACTCCCTCCGCGGGCGGCACTCACCCTCGTCGTGCGCGTGTCGACGGATCGTGGGGGCCCGCGCGGCCCCCAGGGGCCCCGACGAGCCGAGATGGGGTGCCCCGCACAGGAGCAGGAGCAGCAGCCGCAGCGGCGGCGACGGTGGTGGCATGGTGGAACTGGGTTGGATCACCTGGTGCGCAGGGGGCCGGCCACGTGATGACACAAGGTGATTCAGTCATGGGGCATATGGTATTGGGGTAAATTGTAATGAGAGACGGGGTCAAGGTCATGGGGTAATGGGTTACGGGGTCACGAGGTCATGAGACTCGGGGTCATGCGATCTGAAACACGAGGTCATGAAGGAATACGAGGTCACGAGATGCATGGTCATGGGGTCAGAGATCATGGTACATACGATCGTGGGGCACGGGGTGACAAACCACAAGGTCATGGGGTCAGAGGGCTCAGGGTGTGTGAATAATTTATGATCTTTCAATGTCTGAAGAAGCCGTCACCCACAAAGATGCTGTGTACATTTTACAAGCACCACAACTCTCACCCTGATGACAACAACAACCGCCGTAAACCGCTCAGTGGCGGCGACGTCACCACGGCGCTTGTGCCAAGCGAGGTGTACTTTGAGGCTACATGAAGTGTCGACAGGACCGCTGGCAGGAGGTCACGGAACAGACCCGGGTGCCGTGGGTCGAATGACTGAGATGATTGGCCAGATGCACCAGCTGTACTCCCCACTGTGCCAACTCTCTGCGTTGTATCTGCCCGTTGCTCCACTCGTTGTGAACGTCGCTCCACTTGCCCTCTGTTGTTGCTGGAGGGGCGACTGGCCTCCAATTCCTAACGCAGGCATCACCGTGTGTGCTGGCACGGTTTCTGTGCTCCCTTGGCCCGGGTAAGGCTTCCACCAATCCAGCAGAGGGCAGGAGAGGGACCATTCTCATCACTACCCAGTCAGATGATCACGTAAACAAGAATAATTAATCCAATGATTACACGATCAGATGATCAATCACACAGTCAGATGACCAATCATATTATCATATGACCAATACAATTATCATATGATCGATAACATGATCAATATCATGGTCAGAATACGAATCAGAGTAACCAACGCGACGATCTGAGTTCACACTCCCGGCGAATATCAGTGGCGATTGACGGCTGAAACCGGCATAGCCCATCGCTGCCGTCTTCAGCAACTCGCACTGACCAGCGTGGTGAAGAATGTTCAAACAAGCCGCTACGTGCAGGCGTGCCAGGTGGCATTCAGCCCGGCTGCTCTTGCTATTGTGAATTAGAATTGACGATGTGGAGGAATTAGCCTCGGCAGGCAAGCCACGTGATCAGGGAACCGTGTGATGAGGTGTCGAGCCACACGGCCAGACGGCCAATAAGCGGCCCAGGAAATTAAACAATTAACCCAATAGCCCGGGCCATTAATCAAGCACGCCGGGTGAATGATTACTCGGGTTTCACGGAGAGTCTCACGGTGTCTGCGTGTGTCTCAGCGTGTGTGTATGTGTGTGTGACGGTGTTTGTGTGTGTGTCAAGGTGTCTGTGTGTGTCTCAGGGTGTGTGTGTCACAGTGTCTGTGTGTCTCACTGTGTGTGTCGTGGTGTCTGCGTGTGAGGCTCACGGTGTCCGTGTGTGAGTCTCACGGTGTCTGTGTGTGTCAGTCTCACGGTGTCTGTGTGTGAGTCTCATGGTGTCTGTGTGTGAGTCTCACGGTGTCTGTGTGTGTCTCACGGTGTCTGTGTGTGAGTCTCACGGTGTATGTGTGTGTGTCGTGGGGTCTGTGTGTGAGTCTCACTGTGTCTGTGTGTCAGTCTCACGGTGTCTGTGTGTGAGTCTCACGGTGTCTGTGTGTGAGTCTCACGGTGTCTGTGTGTGAGTCTCACGGTGTCTGTGTGTGAGTCTCACTGTGTCTGTGTGTGAGTCCCACGGTGTCTGTGTGTGAGTCTCACGGTGTCTGTGTGTGAGTCTCATGGTGTCTGTGTGAGTCTCACGGTGTCTGTGTGTGAGTCTCACGGTGTCTGTGTGTGAGTCTCACGATGTCTGTGTGTGAGTCTCACGGTGTCTGTGTGAGTCTCACGATGTCTGTGTGAGTCTCACGGTGTCTGTGTGTGAGTCTCACGGTGTCTGTGTGTGATTCTCACGGTGTCTGTGTGTGAGTCTCACGGTGTCTGTGTGTGAGTCTCACGGTGTCTGTGTGAGTCTCACGGTGTCTGTGTGTGAGTCTCACGGTGTCTGTGTGTGAGTCTCACGGTGTCTGTGTGTGAGTCTCACGGTGTCTGTGTGTGAGTCTCACGGTGTCTGTGTGTGAGTCTCATGGTGTCTGTGTGTGAGTCTCACGGTGTCTGTGTGTGAGTCTCACTGTGTCTGTGTGAGTCTCACGGTGTCTGTGTGTGAGTCTCACGGTGTCTGTGTGAGTCTCACGGTGTCTGTGTGTGAGTCTCACGGTGTCTGTGTGTGAGTCTCACGGTGTCTGTGTGTGAGTCTCACGGTGTCTGTGTGTGAATTTCACGGTGTCTGTGTGTGTTGCGGTGTCTGTGTGTAAGGCTACACGGGGGCTATTTGTATATTTTAATGCCAGGGCAACGGTGTTCGTGGAAACTAAACATGATTTGGAGCTTTCGTGACTGCAGGAATTACTCTTTGGTTCTTTCGGTAAAGTCACGTAGAAAGAGAAAATAATAAATTAAATAATACCACACGACGTTTCGATTGCAACACAAGCAATCATCATCAGGTACGATGACAGAGAAAACAAACCGAGTAAAATAATAATAGGGGTTTTCCCTTTTTTCTGGCAACAAAACTGAAACCTTTCACAAAGACTCATGTTTACATTAACCACAGTACTTGTGGTCAAAATGCAAACAAAAACACAATATGATAATATATGATGCATTGTCGTTGAAACTGATTGGTCCACACCAGGGACGGCTTTCTTTTGAGCCTCGACCCAATTGGTGGAGGACGCCAAAAGGTGAAAAACTCTATTATTATGTTTTGGTACTGGAAACGGAGATCTAATGATGTAGATGCTTACCCCGAGCCCTCATTACTTTGATAGTGCAATGTCTTTGAGCTGTACGCCTTTTGGCGTCCTCTGGTCTAGCACCAATTGAGACGAGGCTCAAAAGAAAGCCGTCCCTGGTGTGGACCAATCAGTTTTAAGGACAATGCATCATATATTGTCAGAGTGTGGTTTTTGTTTGCATTTTGACCACAAGTATTGTGGTTAATGCAGACATGATTCCTTGTGAAAAATTTCAGTTTTGTTGCCAGAAAAAAATGGGAAAAACACCATTATTATATTTTGGTACTGGCAAAGGAGGTCTGATGATGTAAACCTAGTAAACTCAGAAATATAATGCAATACAACAAAAAGAGTCGGCTAACATAACAGTCAACACCCTACCTGGTTGATTACGTTCTTCCAAAGATTGCTAAATTTGAGAGGGTGATCGTGGAGTTGAGCGGAATGACGAGTCCCTAATGGGTTCCGCGTGTTGCTGGCAACTCGTGGCGACCACCGGGACACGTGGTTCACTATCGCGCGCTCACACAACGACAAAGGTGCCCCGTGTAGCCTATAGAGACTGTTGGGGCAAGTGCCGCTAGCGAGCGCCAATCAATGGGACGAGAGATCTCGTCACATCTCGGAAGCGAAGCAGGATTTTTTTAAAGCCTGGATAATGTTTGGATGGGTGACCCTGCCATGCATAGCAGGTGCTACAGGCAACGGTTGTTCCTGCACACCCCATCCACCCCCACCCCAATCCGCCTGCACTGACCAGCGTGGTTAAGTATGGTCAGTGCACACACGGCGCGGGGAGGCCCTCAATCCAGCAGTGGATTGACGAACTGGCTCTAGCACGTGACATTACTTGCGGCACGTCACACGAGCGAGGTCCGTAATGTGTGGCCAGAACCGCGCGCGGCCGCCTTTGTCTCCCCAGTGCCGATGTGTGAACAGAGCGCGCCAGGTGCTCATTGATACAGAAAGCGCCACCACCATCAACATCCCAGCTCTCGAGACGCAGCGCGGGGCAGGTTTGCTCTGCGTGCATGCAGACACACTAACCACGCCGCCCGACGGGACCCCTCCACCGCGTAGATGGAGCGTGTTCATGTGCGCGCACAAATACGTGCTCATGTGTGGTCGCAAAAACACGTGTTCATGTGCGCGCACACACACGCACGTGCTCATGTGTGGTCGCAAAAACACGTGTTCATGTGCGCGCACACACAATCACGTGCTCATGTGTGGTCGCAAAAACACGTGTTCATGTGCGCGCGCGCACACGCACGTGCTCATGTGTGGTCGCAAAAACACGTGTTCATGTGCGCGCACACACACGCACGTGCTCATGTGTGGTCGCAAAAACACGTGTTCATGTGTGGCCCACAGACACGTGCTCATGTACGCACACACACGAACACGTATTTGTGCGCGCACACACGTGTTCGTGTGTGCGCGCACAAATACGTGTTCATGTGTTGTCGCAAAAACACGTGTTCATGTGCGCGCACACACAATCACGTGCTCATGTGTGGTCGCACAAACACGTGTTCATGTGCGCGCACACACAAACACGTGTTTCCATTTATACGCGGCAGAGGCGCAGTCCTGCAACTGCTCGCTCTCGCCTCCTGCTGGCGGAACGGCCTCCGCTAGAGAGCCCCCCTCTAGAGGCGAACGTTTGGTCTACTCTTCCACGCCGGCCATAACTTCTGGGAAGAGGTGGGCGTACCCACACTTTACCCCACTGCTGGTCACCTTGCCCATCGCCTACGATTGTGGATTAACCTCTGGGTTGCAAGCCCCATCATGTACACTGCTGTGGTGGCCATCCACTGCTCACGTACTGAATATTCAGTTCCCAGGAGAGCCCGAGTCTCAAGGCTCCCTGTCAGGAGGCTGCTGCTGCTACACTGGGATTGTTTGTCCAGAATCGAGGTTTTTAAATACAGGGTGCTTAAAAACATTGTTAACACTTCTGACAGTTTGCAACAATACGACAAGGAATGTGCTGCTGCCTCCGGGCTCTGGAGACCACCTGGAGAAGATTCCAGGCACGCGTTGACAATGATGGCGCACAAGTGGAGACTCTTTGACTTTTTGAAGCTATTAACATACATTTGTTAGCATGTTACAGTGTATTATCCGTTCTTTTCCCATTAAAACGATAGGACGATAGTCCTATATAAGTCAACCCGCCACCACCCGACACAGCCAATTAATAAGGTTTGTCACGTAAACTAAACGTGGCCAATTCATTACTTAGTTCAGCACTAACCTACTGTGTGTCGGAGAATTAAACACCACAGCAACATTTACAATTCGGGTGACGGTGACGTTTAAATGCAACAACGACGACGAGGAGCCTCACGTCAGGCGACAGCCAGAGAGTTGTGGACACCCCACGTGATGATACACGTGGGGTGTCCACGTGATGATACACGTGGGGTGTCCACGTGATGATACACGTGGGGTGTCCACGTGATGATACACGTGGGGTGTCGTTTGGCCGTGAATCGCAATGGAACCGAATCCCTCGACAGAATGGCCCTTCGACATCGATCATCGTTCATTCTCGAGAGGCGACGAACTCCAGTGCCCACTGCCCTTGATGATGGTAGTGCTGACCAGAGAAGTCTGCAATGTCCACGCGTTCATTCACTGTTATTGTGTTTTCTACAAATACAAAGACACTCGACGAAGACCCCGGAGCCAGCACAGGATACGCTGCTGGCGGGACAATTTCGCTCAGCTGGCCTGGGAATTCCCCAGGACAAGCTGGAAGTCTGTATTGTAGTGTAGTGTCGAGTGTATAGTGTAGTGTAGTAGTGTATAGTATTGTAGTGTCGAGTGTAGTGGTGTATAGTTTAGTGTATAGTATTGTAGTGTCGAGTGTAGTAGTGTATAGTGTAGTGTATAGTATTGTAATGTCGAGTGTAGTAGTGTATAGTGTAGTGTAGTAGTGTATAGTATTGTAGTGTCGAGTGTAGTAGTGTATAGTTTAGTGTAGTAGTGTATAGTAGTGTAGTGTCGAGTGTAGTAGTGTATAGTGTAGTGTAGTAGTGTATAGTATTGTAGTGTCGAGTGTAGTAGTGTATAGTTTAGTGTAGTAGTGTATAGTAGTGTAATCTCGAGTGTAGTAGTGTATAGTGTAGTGCAGTAGTGTATAGTAGTGTAATCTCGAGTGTAGTAGTGTATAGTGTAGTAGTGTATAGTGTAGTAGTGTATAGTAGTGATGTGTTGAATGTAGTAGTGTATAGTCACTACACACTACTACACTATATTGTAGTAGTGTATAGTGTAGTGTATAGTAACGTTGTGCTAGAGGATGTCGCCAGGGAAAGGGAGGTGTGGACCGCCACTACTCAACACGCTGCTGCCGCCGCGACCCTCACCAGGACAAGCGGATTGAGAAACGAACGAACGAAGACAAAGATCCCCCGAATTTCTTTAACGGACTGTTGGGGGCAAGTGCTGCCAGCGAGCTCCTATTAAGGCAGGGGGAGGGGTGGTCAGCAACACCCACGCCCGGCCGCCTTCGTCTCCCCAGTGCTGATGTTCACACACCCCACCGGGTACTCATTTGAGGCTAAGTCGACCTAGGGGAGACCCCAGAATCGGCCAGTGAGCGGGAGTCGAAATGGGAGGTCGCCGGGCTCGCGGCCCCTGCTCAAGAGACTCGCACCACCGCTCCAATTAACATTCCCAGACCGTGACCAAGTTACATTGACACATCACAAGAGCGATACAGAACCACGCCAGTACAGCCGTGCTGATAGCGAGTAGCAGCACCTTTGAAGGCCGGCACGGCACACGAGGGAGTGGGTGGCCAGCACCACGTTCGACCGCCTTTGTCTCCTTTGTAGCGATGTTTACGCACCGCACCGGGTACTCGTTTGAGGCTGAGTCGATCTAGGGGAGGCCCAGGACCGGCACATAAAATCGTCACTGGTGTTGACCGTGAGCGGGAATCGAACTCGGATTCGCCGGGTTCGTTGCGCAGGGCGCTAATCAATGCGCCACCGCTCCTCCCACAGATTCAGACACAAACTCACACGTCCACTGTGATACTCATTCACTGCCACAACCACACTGTCATACATACACTCCCGCACAGGTCAATACTGTCAAAGTCACAGACACACACTCACAAACTCTCACTAACACACTCTCACACACACTCACTCTCACTCACACACTCTCACTCACACACTCTCACACTCACACACTCTCACTAACACATTCTCACACACACACACTCTCACTCACACACTGTCACTCACACACACTCACACACACTCACACACTCTCACTAACACACTCTCACACACACTCACTCTCACTCACACACTGTCACTCACACACACTCACACACTCTCACACACACACACACTCTCACTCACACACACTCACACACTCTCAACACACTGTCACTCACACACTCTCACACACACTCACTCTCACTCAAACACTGTCACTCACACACACTCACACACTCTCACACACACACACACTCTCACTCACACACTCACACACACTCACACACACTCACACACTCTCAACACACTGTCACTCACACACTCTCACACACTCTCACACACACACTCTCACTCACACACTCTCACTCACACACACTCTCACTCACACACACTCTCCCACTCACACACTCCCACTCACACACTCTCACACTCACACACTCTCACTAACACATTCTCACACACACACACTCTCACTCACACACTGTCACTCACACACACTCACACACTCACACACTCTCACTAACACCCTCTCACACACACACATTCTCACTCACACACTGTTACTCACACAAACTCACACACTCACACACACTCTCACTCACACACTCTCACTCACACACACTCTCACTCACACACACACTCTCTCACACACTCTCACACACTCTCACACACACTCACTCACACACTCTCACACACTCTCACACACACTTACACACACTCACACATACTCTCACTCACACACTCTCACACACACTCACTCACACACTCTCACACACTCACTCACACACACTCACTCACACACTCTCACACACTCTCACACAAACTCACACACTCTCACACACACTCTCACTCACACACTCTCACTCACACACACTCACACTCTCACTCACACACTCTCTCACACACTCTCTCACTCACACTCTCACTCACACACACTCTCTCACACACTCTCACACACACTCACACACACTCACACACTCTCACACACACTCACTCACACACTCTCACACACTCTCACACACACTCACTCACACACTCTCACACACACACTCACTCACACACTCTCACACACACACTCACTCACACACTCTCACACACTCTCACACACACTCACACACTGACACTCTCTCACACTCCACCACTCACAAGGCTCCTGTCCGCCACGTGCTCCCTCCTTGCTGTCGCGGATTCGCGCTGGGAGCGTCTCGCTTCTGTCCCGGGGCGCGGGTCCTCAGCTCTGTCTCTCACTCCTTTCTGTCTCTCGTGTGCTCTCTCACTCTCTTATCTCTTTACTCTCCCACCCCTGCTCTCCCGTGTTCCTTCTCTCGCTCTCCTCCCTCCTCTCTCTCTCACTGGTCGCTCTCCTCTCCCCTCCCTCTCTCTCCTCGCTCTGATCGCATCGCAGAGCGCGGAGTGGCTCTTAGCGCTGCACGCGGGGCCCCGTGGAGGGCTGCGGCGGGGGAGGAGAGGGAGGGGAGGGAGGGGTGAAGAACCTGGTGGAATTTGCATTCAATACAAGTCCAGCGATCATCGTCAACATCGTCAGCCACGGTCCATCCACTGCTGGATGAAGGCCTCCCCCACGCCGTGGTCTATCAGCTGCTGGATGAAGACCTTGCCAAGCAATTTTGGCAAACTTTAAGACCAGTGGCACAACAATGCGAATGACGTCACGGGGTCTTTAACGCCCGTTGTTAAGCGGACGGCACATATATCGTGCTCGACGCCGGAGTATTAACCAGGGGCAGCCTTTGGATTATAACCGCCGCTCGTCCAGCCCGTGGTGCCGTGGGGGAGGGGGGGTAATCGCAGGGTTACGAGGGGTGGCAACGGCTTGGGGAGACGTTCATCCAGCAATGGATACAGCGGGAGCTGATGATGATTATCGTTTACCCAGGAAAGCCTCGGCGGAGTCTCAACACTAATCGCCAAGAGGGTCCTGCCCGGGACGCGTGGCAGATTCCTAATCGAGAAGAAGAACGGGTTCCATAAATAGCCGGGGCCGGAGCGAGACAGCCCCCATAGCCTCCCCGATAGTCCCCCCCCCTCATCCCTATTCCTCATCTCCCTCATCTCCCTCATCCCCCCCACCCCCCTCCCCCCCCATCCCCCTCCCCCCTCACCCCCCCCATCCCCCCTCACCCCCCTCGCTCGGGGCGCGGACTCGACTTTGTCTTTTTTGGGCTCTAGGAGACCAACCACATGGCTCTGCCACCCACGTGGTGGTGGTAGAGATTGGGGTCGTCGTGGGGGTGGTGGGTAGCGATGGTTGGTGATGGGGGGGATGGGTGGTGATGGGGGTGGTGGGTGGTGATGGGGGTGGTGGGTGGTGATGGGGGTGGTGGGTAGCGATGGTTGGTGATGGGGTGGATGGGTGGTTATGGGGGTGGTGGATGGTGATGGGGGTGGTGGGTAGTGATGGGAGTGGAGGGTAGTGATGGGTGGTGGTGGGGGTGATGGGTGGCGATGGGGGTGATGGATAATGATGGGAGTGGAGGGTAGTGATGGGGGTAATGGGTGGTGATGGGGGTGGTGGGTAGTGATGGGAGTGGAGGGTAGTGATGGGTGGTGATGGGGGTGATGGGTGGTAATGGGGGTGATGGGTAATGATGGGTGGTGATGGGGGAGGTGGGTAGTGAAGGGAGTGGAGTGATGGGTGGTGATGGGAGTGATGGGTGGTGATGGGTGGCGATAGGAGTGATGGATAGTGATGGGTGGCGATGGGGGGTGATGGGGTGGTGCGTAGTGATGGGTAGTGATGGGCGGTGATGGGGGTGATGAGTAGTGATGGGTAGTGATGGTAGTGATGGTAGTGATTGGGTAGTGATGGTAGTGATGGTAGTGATGGTATTGATGGGTAGTGATGGTAGTGTAATGACATAGAATCAGTCACTTAGCAATTTAGCGCTGGCTGTTGGCAGGGAAGTGGATCTGAAGTCCACAGCAGCCCTGACTAACAGAAGGTCACGTGATAGACCACAGATACAGTGAGGGAAAAAGTATTTGATCCCCTGCTGATTTTGTACGTTTGCCCACTGACAAAGAAATGATCAGTCTATAATTTTAATGTTAGGTTAATTTGAACAGAGACAGACTAACAACCAAAAAATCCAGAAAAACGCATGTCAAAAATTTTATTTATTGATTTGCATATTAATGAGGGAAATAAGTATTTGACCCTTCTGCAAAACATGACTTAGTACTTGGTGGCAAAACCCTGGTTGGCAATCACAGAGGTCAGACGTTTCTTGTAGTTGGCCACCAGGTTTGCACACATCTCAGGAGGGATTTTGTCCCACTCCTCTTTGCAGATCTTCTCCAAGTCATTAAGGTTTCGAGGCTGACGTTTGGCAACTTGAACTTTCAGCTCCCTCTACAGATTTTCTATGGGATTAAGGTCTGGAGACTGGCTAGGCCACTCCAGGTCCTTAATGTGCTTCTTCTTGAGCCGCTCCTTTGTTGCCTTGGCCGTGTGTTTTGGGTCATTGTCATGCTGGAATACCCATCCACGACCCATTTTCAATGCCCTGGCTGATGGAAGGAGGTTCTCACCCAAGATTTGACGGTACATGGCCCCGTACATCGTCCCTTTGATGCGGTGAAGTTGTCCTGTTCCCTTAGCAGAAAAACACCCCCAAAGCATAATGATCATTGTTACAACGCTGTGGGTGATCATGATATTGTTTTCTCCGATACCAAGGTGCTCTGCAAACCTACCGGTTATTATTAGAGATTTGTCCACGAGGCCATCCAGATTTACAAACACAGACACAACTTGAACCGAGAGGATGGTTTCAAATTGAGCAATCACTGGAAAGATGTTACAAATCAAGTCAAACGTTAGCTGCCTCTCAATTTTTTGTACAGCCATTTCCTTTTCTCAGTGGTTGTATTTCAAACTTTAGCTTCCTTATAATTGAACAGCCGTTTGCACCCGCTTTCCAAATCCCCCCGACCCCCAACGCAGCATAAAAGGTTTTTTTTTTTACCCACTCCCGTGCATTGCGAAGTGATTGTTACCTGCAGCAGCCTATCAAAAGGCTGCTTAACCCAGCCCTCCTACCCACCCACGCCCCCTTACTGACTCCTCCCCCCTCCCTTAACCTGTATATAATCCCGGTCGTCTCTGAACTGTGCTCCTGACACAGATATTCTGCCTTGACTTTTTCCACCTGAAGACGGAAGCTTGTGTTGCCTGCGAAACGTCGTGATTTAATTATTTTCTTTTATTTTGTTTTATTTATCTACGTGACTTTACCGAATAAAACCAAAGAGTATAATGTTTCCACCTCCATGTTTGACGGTGAGGATGGTGTTTTTGGGGTTATAGGCAGCATTCCTCCTCCTCAAAACACGGCGAGTTGAGTTGATGCCAAAGAGCTCCATTTTGGTCTCATCTAACCACAACATTTTCACCCAGTTGTCCTCTGAATCATTTAGATGTTCATTGGCAAACTTCAGACGGGCATATATGCGTGCTTTCTTGAGCAGGGGGACCTTACGGGCACTGCAGGATTTCAGTCCTTCACGGCGTAGTGTGTTACCAATTGTTTTCTTGGTGACTATGGTCCCAGCTG